ATATATATATATATATATATATATATATATATATATATATATGATTTCTCATGTTATTTTTTTGTTTCTCTTCTCTCATACATTTGGCAATGTTTTCATCTGTGTTTGTATTTCTTCATTTTATGTTTCGTTGACAGCTGAATGGCACCAGCAGGTTTCATGGCTTGGCCAGTTTGGATGATATATCTGCTATTATCAGCACCCCACCTTTAGGAGGATTCCAGGTAGCCACACCAACCTCTCCAATCTGATGTTAAAGCGAAACCCAGCTCTCTCTAACTAGACGCGCCTCGTGGCAGTTCTCAGTAATGCACACATGTTCAGTTCATGCTTTATGTGTCTAATCTGCAGCTGTGATCGTCCTGTGTGTTTGCTAAACAGGATGAGGCTTAGATTGTTTTACATAGCAACACGACATGCCACTAATCTGAGACTGGGAGTGCAGTGCATGAAGGTAGTAGCATGTGTTTTGGTGACATTGTAATGCTCACGCCTCCTTTGGTGTGTCTGTATAACCACAGATGATGAAAGCATTGCTACATATTACACGTGTTGGACGTTCTGCACATTTTTGCAGAGAGAATGGATTATTCCTTATACTGCATTGTCTCCGTAAAAATAATAAAAGACAGTGTATTATCAACCTGTCCGTCAAAACGGGTCCTTTTTGCATTTCCAGTTTCTCAGATAACATTGTGGCGTTGCCTGAATATGTAAAGCACTCTTTTGTCTCCAGTCACGAACATGTTTCAAAGCTCTCATTGATTCTGTTGCAGCTGGTTTTTAACCCTCCTTTTAATTGCATTTGTTATTTCCCTGTTTCACTGGTTATCTTTCCCTGATACGGAGCTCTAGATGTGCCGCGCTAACCTTTTTACTAACCGCACACCTGCCTCTGACTTTCAGCTACTGTCTCTTTCCTAACTCATCCTCACCTAAGCTGAGACATTCATTTTTAATTAATTAATACTGAAATAAGTCTCTTTGGTGTTCCCAGCCTCAAAGAACCCAGACTCCCCCAGAGGAGGAAGAGGATGCTGAGGAAGAGGAGACAGAGGAACTGGGACATGTAGACACATATGCTGAGTACAGACCTTCCAAATGTAGGCCGCTAGACTGAATGTCAACATCCAGTTTTTTCACTTATTACGCCACGACACTCGTATAGGTTTGCTATTATGTAAAATGTTCCCTTTTTTTAAACTGTTCTTCTGTTTCCCCCCCCCTCTCTTATACAGCCACTATAGGAATTTCTCATCCTGACATAGTGGTGGAGACCAACACGCTATCCAGTGTCCCGCCTCCTGACATCACTTACACCCTGTCTATCCCTGAGCCAACGATCAACCGTGGCCTGCTGTCCGCTCTGCAGCTAGAGGCCATCATCTACGCCTGCCAGGTACACACACACACGCAATACATAAAGCACTTATTCTTTTTGTAGCAATGAATGATTAATGGTTTGATTATACAGGCATCTCTGTTCATGCATTTGCTCTTTGTGCACCCTCAGCAACATGAGGTGATCCTTCAGAACAACCAGAGGGCAGGCTTCCTGATCGGAGATGGCGCAGGGGTCGGAAAGGGACGCACCGTGGCAGGAATCATACTGGAAAACTACCTTGATGGAAGGAAGAAATCACTATGGTAAGAGAGATGTACAATTCCTGAAACCTAAAGTAACAACCCAGGGCTGTACCGAACAGTTCGAAGCTTTGTTCTTTATGTTGACATTTCGGATTCTGATTTAAATCGACATTCAAAGGCCGTGTAGCTTTATTTTTTTTATGTCTATTCATAATGTTTAGACTCTGTATTTTCTATATTTATTCTACCGCGATCATTAACGGTCATTAATGTCCTCTGCGGGCCTCTTCACACACACACAGAACAGAGAGGAGACGGCTGAAGTGAAGATAAAGTTGTCTGTACCGGTTACAAACAGCCTCGGTAGTGAATAGTATTATACTGTTTATAGAATTAGATTGCAGAGCTGGCTGCGTAGGATTGTGTCCGACGCGTGTGATCCAAACATTTCCAATAACTCCAGATCACAATAAAGTCAAAAAGATAGAAGTAGTTATTTCCAAAACCCACAACATGTTATTATCTAAAGGAATAGTCTGCTTTAGTCCATATTTTTGGGCGTTCAACCTTTCAAAAAAGGCGTTTTCACTGCCGTCAAAAAACTGTTTGCTCTACCGCTTGCCGCACACAAAAAGGAGGGATGCACTGACGAGTTAATAGCCATCAAGAAAGGTGCCTTCATAAGAAAAGGACTAACTCATTTAATCCTATGAATCACTTCATTCAAATCAAGGATTTTTAGGGTGTTGAAGTGATAAAATATGACGGCAGACATTTAAAGCTTAATTTCAAAACCTCCATCAAAGATTTTCGGTACAGCCTTATAACAACCGCAGTTCATTGGGTTTCAGTAATTGATTTATGCGTTCGTGTTTTGCATCCAGTATTGTGCCGGGAGATATATTGGGCATGTAGAGGCTAGTTAGCGCAGGAGTCGACTGAATTACTGACTAACCCTCACCCTGCTCCTGCCCTCAGGTTCAGCATATCCAATGACCTGAAATTCGATGCAGAGAGAGATCTCAAAGACATAGATGCATCGAATATCCCTGTGCACGCCTTAAACAAGGTGAGTCCAGGTGGAGTTAGCGTGACCAGCTGAGTGAAAGAGTTTTGTTCTCGGTAACTGTGAGTCACATGTTCATCCGAGCAGAAAAGGAAACGAGCTGTTTGGCGACAGTGTGGCTCTGTGAATGTTCGTATCTAACAAATATACTTTGGAATGTTTGTCTTGTTTTTGTAGATTAAGTATGGAGACACAGCTACCTCAGAAGGAGTCCTGTTTGCAACTTACTCTGCGCTGATTGGAGAGAGCCAGGCAGGAGGGCAGCACCGAACGAGAATCAAACAGATCCTAGACTGGTGCAAGTCAGACTTTGACGGAGTTGTATCCTTTTCACTTCGACGACCTCACGTCCAACAGTTTTCTAACACAAATTGTTACTCCATGTCTGTGTTGTTTGCCCTTGACCTTTCCCCCACTACAGATTATTTTTGACGAATGCCACAAAGCCAAGAATGCCACATCTACAAAGATGGGCAAGGCGGTGCTTGACCTGCAAAACAAGCTGCCGAGGGCCAGAGTGGTGTATGCCAGTGCCACAGGTAGGCCGACGCACCAATACAAACCCACTCAATATGCGTCATGCAACACAAGCGAGGATTTTAGAATATATGTTTTTTTTTTTTGTCATCTCTGCCCCAGGTGCCTCTGAGCCAAAGAACATGATCTACATGAGCCGCCTGGGAATCTGGGGTGAGGGCACGCCCTTCAGGGCCTTTGAAGACTTCCTGCACGCCATCGAGAAGAGGTTCGTACGGTCACACGTTGCAGAATCTACCTCAAACATGTTTTCAGGAGCCTTTCCAATCATGCGGGCAGGCACATATCGTCGAATCGCTGTGTGCTCACCGGAAAATAAACGTACAATCAGTTTGCGGTTATTGCTGCTTGATCCGCGATTGAGTTGTGCTGAATAATTTATACACTGTTTGTAAACAGAGGCGTCGGTGCCATGGAGATTGTTGCGATGGACATGAAAGTGAGCGGCATGTACATCGCCCGGCAGCTGAGCTTCTCAGGGGTGTCTTTCCGCGTCGAGGAGATCGGACTGGACAGTGACTTCAAACTGGTCTATAACAAAGCTGCAAGACTGGTGAGCATCATGCCGGTGTCTATGCTTATGGTGTTGTGTTAGAGATTGAAAGAAACCCACACACACTGTATATTTGAAAGTGACTAATCACATCTGGAATCTGTGTCCAGTGGGCGGAGGCATTGCAGGTGTTCATGCGTGCGGCTGATGAGCTGGGCCTGGTCAGCAGGAAGTCTCTGTGGGGCCAGTTCTGGTCGTCTCACCAGCGCTTCTTCAAATACCTCTGCATCGCTGCCAAGATCCGCTGCCTGGTGGAGCTGGCCCAAAAAGAGCTGCAGGCCGGAAAGGTCAGCACAACACAGTCTCGAACGCTGAGTCATATAGCTTGTATAATCTAGAGGACTATAAATGACCCAGAGGAAGATCCAAGCAGGAACTGAAATTCTATAGATGTTGCATAAGAGGAGAGAACTGCAAGGACGGAGCAAATTATTGCTCAATATTTAGCTTTTTCTACAGAGTTTTGCATGCTGTTTGTTGGATATACAAGCGTCATTAAGACTTTATTTTGCACTTCCCTGTACATAGGTTGAGTCAATGCATTTTAGTATAATATGTGCCATCGGGATTCCATGAATGAGTCCACGATAGAATGGACTTCAGGTAACACAGTAGACCTGTTAGGTTGTTGATGTGTATTTGTTTCCCCTCCACCACAGTGCATCGTCATCGGGCTGCAGTCTACCGGAGAGTCCCGGACCAGAGAAGTCCTGGATGAGAACGACGGGCAACTCGACAGATTCGTCTCCGCAGCAGAGTGAGTGGAAATGAATATTTTCTCTGCTGTTTTGTGTGTTTCTATGTCAATAGGTTTATTTCAGGGTTTGTCATCCTTTTTGATAGGAAGTGCCATTTTTAATATTATTGTTAATCAGTGTGCTGAATCAACATTAAAGTTAACATTAACTTTTTTTATGACACCACATCAAAACTTATATTTCATTCCATATATATCAACATTTAAAAAAGGACGTTATAATTATACATAGAGAGCACTTTACGAGAAGGCTGCCATCCACATCTAAGCTGAAATCATTAAAGCTCTTTCCCCGTTCTTATTCATCAGCAATAAACTTAAAAACTTCTGCTCAGAGGGCAACGATTACTAGCCAAATAGAAGCAGAGTAGGGCAGGTGGTGGGAGGAAAAAAAAATCAATCAAACTACCGTAAATAACAGGCCAAGCAGCTGCAGTCGGCTGTGAAAGAGGTAATCTGGCATGTGGATGAGAGGGCACTTCAACATTTTCAAAGAACTCTTGAACACACTTATTGCTAGTGTGCTTATTTTTTTAACTACAGGTGCCTAAGGTGGCTTGCCTCTGGTTCATTTGAAAGAATGTTCACTAAATGTCTTCCCTGGGTTACAGCTCAGTCTGAACACCTACCGTTAGCCGTGTCTTGAAGCGTTACCGCCTGTTCGCTGGAAGCCACAGCAGTCTGTGGGTTTCTTCCATTTCATTTAGTTGCTTCATCAAACTGAGGAGAACACACACACAACACGTTCTTTTCAATAATAGGTATTCAGGTCATGCACTTCCAGTCCTCACCATTTATCCTCAATTAAACCAATCTCTTTAGTCATTAGCAGCTATTTAATTATAATGCAAGTATAACAGGAAAGCAAGGGTACAGGTGCTGAGTGCTCTGAACTTTCTTGACTCTAAACCTCAAACAGCAGACACACCTGCTGTTTGAGTATATTAACTCTCACACACACACGTTCATCTGCGCGTCCACACCTGATCAAATCAAAGCAGGAATGTACCGACTGTCTAAATGTCTCAACTGCCGTGTGTTGTCCTGATCGCTTTACTGGCAGAATAAGAGTTTCCCTCTCTCTTCCTCTTTCCTTTAGGGGAGTGTTCCAGTCTCTCGTATCGAAGCATTTCCCCTCAGAGAAACAGAGGCGAGAGAAAGCACCGGGGAATAAAAGAAAACGTAAGTGAACACCAGTCAGCATGTCTACCCTAAAGAGAACTGGAACCCGTTTTTTACTTGTATTGTATGTAGCCAGTGCTCAGCTGACATGTCAGGCTTTTGCTCCGCAGTCTTAATTCAACAATTAACCGAGTGTTGTTTGAATGTACTTATATATTTGTGTGCATCTCTTGTTTGCACTCATTTTCTTGCAGTCTGCTTCTATATTTCTTGGCCGTTCATTGAATCACGTTAGAAAAAGTGTTTGTTGAGCTGCGCTTCTTGTTTATTAATCTAATATCGTGTCGTGGCGTCCGATCAGGGAAGCCTCGAGGTCGCCAGCCCAAAGTACCAAAGCACACCGTGGACAGCGGCGGTGTGATCAACATCAGCGACGACAGCAGTAGTGACTCGGACGGCATGGACACGGACTCCAACTCCTCACCAGACTCCCTGCTAGACAATGACGATGTCATCTTTGTCAACCACACTAGCTGCCAGACAGGTGGGGAGATGTCTTTTTCTTTGGTTTGTTGTCGGTAGGAAGATATTTTAGCTTCAGTGGGTGTGTCCGGTCTCAATCAGAGAGATTCAGACAGTGAAACTACCTTCCATGCCCTGTTGTGTTTTTGTTTTTGTCACTCTTGTACGTATTAGCGTATTCATCACTGTAGGTAAAAATGAAGATGACATTATAATGTTACACAGAATCAAGCGTATATATCTCTTTCGGGACCTTCGCCTCGCTTAGAGCAGAGGCCATCTTTACCTTAAGAACAACACTATAGGCGCCACGCAATTAAGTCTGCAGCTGGCGTTTCCATGAATTTGCTCTATTTCTGAGTTATTTCGCATACATTTTAGACTTTAGAATACAACCACCGTCCCCCCTGCTCTGTAATATTTTTTTTTTTACTGACGATGGCCCTATTACTCTTGCCTATCAGGGTTACAAAGTTAATGTCCCCTCTGCTTCCTGTTCACAGCCAGGATAGAGGAGATGAAGCAGGGCCTCCTCAACAAGATAGCCGTGCTGGGAAAAGAACTACCTCTCAACACCTTGGACGAGCTCATCGATAAGTTTGGAGGACCAGATAAAGTCTCAGAGGTACGAACTCAAGACACTGAACCAGAAACTCTACAGCTTAAATAGTGCAGGATGGATTCACTTGAATCAATGTCTACACATCAGCACAAAAACAAATATACATTCATGTTATTTTATAAGCAAAAAGGTGACAGTGTGATCAATATTTCTTGTGCAGATGACTGGTCGTAAGGGTCGTGTGGTGCGGCGTCCTGATGGCAGCGTTCGCTACGAGTCCCGGGCCGAGCAGGGTCTCACCATCGACCACATAAACATCAAGGAGAAAGACCGCTTTATGAGTGCAGAGAAGGTCAGACTCACCAATCCAATCGACACGTCTACTTGCACATAAAGAACCACGACTTGGCAGGAAACAATCTGCATCTGCTTTATAAACGGACCAATAAGATAATAATCCAAACCTCTTTCCTTGCAGTTTGTGGCCATCATCTCGGAGGCGGCCAGCTCTGGGATTTCCCTGCAGGCGGACAAGCGAGTGAAGAACCAGAGGCGCAGGGTCCACATGACCCTGGAGCTGCCTTGGAGTGCAGACAGGGCCATTCAGCAATTCGGTGAGTCAGGAAATCTGATCTCACGACAGTGTTTTCCCCGAGGATGGAGTGGTAGCGGTTGTGGTGGTGTTTTTGCATGTGTGCAAATAAAAAAAAAAAATTCTGCGCTCGCAAATCATGCCCTGCCGGGGGATTTTTATATGTCTGCCTGCACTACAAGGGCTGTTAATGCCTAAGTACATACAGCCCAAATGTGCACAGTAATGAACAGGATAAATGTCTGTCTCGCTCACATATGAGGTGTCTCAAGATTCAGGAAAATACACTTTTATTGAACATAATAAAATAATCGTATATGGGCCGACAATAGCTCAGTCTGTGGGGACTTTGCTTGGGAATCGGAGGGTCAAGTCCCGACACGAGCCAAGTACGGGCTGTGTGGTAGTTAGATAGGTGCTAGTGCGCCTCCCCTAAACTGCTCATCGGGTTCTGTATAGTAGCTGCCCACTGCTCCCAATAGGAGGATGTGTGCTGTGCTCTGTACATGTGTGACAATTAAAGTTGATTTACATTTTATTATCGTAAGTAAATTACACCTCATAACTGTGACTTATGACACCTTGTCTTTTAGATGTGGGAGGGTGTCATTCTGTTAAAAGTGATTTCAATCTCTCCTCGTGTATGGTAGACACAAGATGGATAAATTCTGTCTTTTCCTTGTCTTCTCCAGGTCGCACCCATCGGTCCAATCAGGTGACGGCCCCAGAGTACATCTTCCTCATCTCAGAGTTGGCTGGGGAGAGACGTTTTGCCTCCATAGTGGCTAAAAGACTGGAGAGCCTGGTAAATATCACAACCTTATAGATGTGTGTGTGTGTGCGTGTGCGTGTGCATGTGTGTTGCATTGCTCTTCCTCTTTTGTCCCACAATTGCTAGATTTTTTCCCTTTTAACCGACATAAACCTGTCTCATGGGACACTAGTCTTTTCATCTTGTTGTCCTTGCGTGAGATGAAGCGTCCCTCTGTATGCGGAGAGGATCTGTGTTTTGTGTTTATTGATTTTGTGCTCTGGGTTGCCAGACACTCCGCCCCCTTTTTGCCATTTCGCCTCTTCGCCCGGCCCTCACCCTTTGCGCTTCCTGTTGTCTTTGGTTTTCCCTACCCTAGAGGCTGAGTCTCTTTTATTCTCGGTTCGCTTAAAGCTATATCAACTTTTTTTTCCCACAAACCTCAAGAGGGTCTTTCCCGTCTCCAGCACAATAAAAGGAAAACTGATTAAGCGGAAAAAGCAAAAGGAGCTTTTGTTTGGATAATTTATAACTCAAGGGTTTGTTTTCCACAGTTATCAATGCGTTTCAGCAGAAGCGGTCTTTTATTTCCATAGTGACACAGCGTGACAGTTCTTTTGGGGCGACGGTACGTACGGAGCATTGGGGCGGTGGTTCCAGGAGTTTGCCAGCCGTGTTCAGTAAATCTGCATCAAGAATAGGTCCCATCGTGTCTGACTGAAACCGATACTCGCACACTGCTGAATACCTTTGCAACCATCTGACTCCAGATCAGCCGTGAACTCATATTTGGCTAAGACATCCCTTTGTTTTGGTGTCTCAAGGCATTCTTCTGTGTGGACAGAGACAGAAGCTGCCAACAAGTCTTTAAATTTCCCTTCACCTCTCCTCTCAGTTAATTTGAAATTGAATGGAAAACAGTTGAACACGAGCTGGGATATTACAGAAACCCGGCTTCACAATTTAAAGTGGCAACAGACTACTCAAACTTTTAACCCCTCCTGGCATTTCCAGGTGGTGTTATTATCAGTGCCGCTGTCACAAAAAGTACCGGATCACTTCTGTTTCCTTCAGAGACTATAAACTACCAACAACGCAGTTAGCATCATGGCTGCCGCTAGCAGCTAAGCTACTGTCCAAAGCAAGAAACAACGGCAACTTGAACTAGAAACCCTGATGTCGGTGCTGTGGTGAAGGCAGAGTGTAACATCTGGTAGTAAGTATTAGTAAATAGGCAGGTTTTGTTACTTGCTCCTCTAGCTTAGTAGAAGCATCTTTGCCTTATTTGCATTCTCCGTCATTGAGGCTCATTTGCATGTTAGAGTGTTCACAGTTAACATCACTCCAGTTGTTACACATTCCGCCCTATTCCTCTACCTGGAGATAGCTACTGTAGGCTGTTTTGTTGAGTTGCCTCTTTGTGAAATGAACAGAAGGAGTGTAGCTGTAATGTCCTGGAGAGCCTTACAAACAGTTGATCAATGTTTTATCTATCAGAGCTCCCCAAAATCAGATACCATTGGCAGGAAATAGTAGTTTATGGACCAGAGTATTTAAAATAGGCTGCTATGTTGTGGAAACGCTGTGGACACACCCCACCAAGACACAAAATGATGTCAGTGGGCAGTTGTTTCACACCTCAACCTCATCTGCTTCCTCTTGATGCCTCGAGCCGGCTGTGTACTCGCACTATCTGGTGTGTTTGTTGAGTGAATGTACCGACATCTGAAAGAGTTTGACCTGTTCACGAGAGACTAATGTCACAGGTTGAATCCCAGCTTCTCAGGCTGGGGTTTCTAAACAACCAGTGGTGGAATGTAACAAAGTACATTTACTCAAGTACTGTATTAAAGTACAATTTCAAGGTACTTTGATTGAGTATTTCCATTTTATCTAACTTCATACTTTGACATCTCAGAGAGATATATTTTACTTTTTACTCCATTACATTTGTCTGACAGCTTTAGTTACTTCTTAGATAAAACATTTTGCAACCCCTTCCTGCCCAGTGAAAACCACGTATCTCAGCCAAATTATTAAAACGTTGACGCAATAACCAAAACTCCACAATCATGTGAAATCTTATATTTAAAGGAGCAGGATCTATGAATGAGAGGGCCGGAAGTCCGCACTATTATCTACTGTGCGGTTGTAGTAATCCTATAATGACTGTTTAATACGCAGATATACTTACTTCGTGCTCACCCTCTCGTGTCGAGGCTGAGCAGTGAAGGCCCGTAGGGATATTGATGATCAACAAGCGTACACAGATTTATCCTGCGTCACTTTGTCCATCTGAATTAGTGTGATGACGCTCTGAAGGCTGTAAACCCTAATACCGCTAATACGCATAATAACACTGCTGCTAATCCACTTTGCAGGGTGCGTTAACCCACGGAGACAGAAGAGCCACAGAATCCAGAGACCTGAGCAAGTACAATTTTGAGAACAAGGTAGGCAAATTGAACAACCTTTCAAAATACAAATTCTGACCTTTCAAGTGTTGCTGTTGCTGAATGAGCCTTCTGAGAGAGTTTATCTTTAACAAGTGCGTGTCCCTTTTCTTGCAGTATGGTACCAAGGCTCTAGATAAGATCACCAAAGCAATCCTTGGCCACATAGAAAACAAGGTGCCCCCTCCCAAAGGCTACCCTGTGGGCGAAGCCCTGTTCTTCAGAGGTACGTTTAAGATCTCTGGTTGACTGTCAGCATCTGTTCACGGAGAACGTCTTCACCGGCACCAGTTCACTGTGATCGATCCGTAAAAACAACTCTTGTTTCTCTTTATTTCAGACATGAAACTTGGAATGATGGATGTGGGCATCTTTTGCAGGGAGTCGCGCTTTGGGATTAATACTGAGAAAGGTAGAGTACCCAAGAGGCACGCAGGCATATTGTGTGCCAGAGGGATAGTTCGGCTGTTTTGAGGTGGGGTTGTATGATGTGCTCATCCATAACCGGTGTATTACTCGCAATAGATGGCGATCGACACGGCACCAGTTTGGATAAACAGCCATGAGGATCAGCACAGGAGCGAAGCCATGTACTGCTGTAGACGGGGGCAGCAGCAAGACACATTTCAGACACCTAAAAACATAAATATCAGTTCATGTGTACGCCATATTTGGATTGTCTTCACCTCCTTACTTTGCCGTCAGACAGCCCTTCAGACAGGGAACTGAAGGCGTTATCTATGCTCTCTTCAAAGCCACAAGACTCCTTTGCCAAAAACAGTAATTTTAACTCAAGAATCACAGGAGTTGCTGGTCTATTATTGCTACGATCGGTTGGTTTGTTTTTGTTTTCTTGTGACTTTGGTGTTTTAAAGGGTTAGTTCGTATACACCAAAGTCACACAATAACACAAACAAATTAACCGATCGAGGCAGCGGTAGAACAACAACTTCTGTGTTCTGTTGGGTAACATTTTTGTCAATGGAGTCTTGTAGCTTTGGCGAGAGCGTGGATGGATATACTGGATTCAGTTCCTTGTCAGAAAGTCGGTCTAACGGCAAGGTAGAGTGATGAGGATATCCTAAATATAGCGTACACCTAAAGTGATCTAAAAATCCTTGTTGCTGCTGCCCTCGTCCACAGCAGAACATTTATTTGCTCCTGTAACTTTACTCCTGTGTGTTTCTCCAAACTGGGGGCGTTCTAACCGCCATCTACTGTAGATAAATACACTGACTGTGAAGAAGTACCTCACACAACGAAACTATCAACCCAGCCCCCAACTTCTAAATGTATCTCAGCTGTGTTCTTTGTTCTTGTGGCTGAATGAACTGTTCTGTGTTGTTGTCTTTTTATCCCAGACTGCAGCATTACCAAGTTCTTAAATCGCATCCTGGGCCTGGAGGTCCACAAGCAGAACTATCTGTTCCAGTACTTCACGGACAACTTTGACTACCTAATCGAGAAGGATAAGAAGGAGGGCAAATATGACATGGGGATCCTAGGTATGAAGCTTTAAGAGTTACTCAAAACACGGCATGGTTTTTAGGTTTTACATCCAAAATATAAACGCAACATAACCCCAAAAGTAAAAATACAAGATTAAAAGTATATCAAACTTAACTTATTGATCAGTTACATAAGTCATGTTTAAATTGTCTGTCAACATACCTTAAATGAGAATACGATTGGCCCTTAAGGGATTGTTACTAATCTTTAAATAAGTAATTGTTTTGCCTCCCTTGTCTTCTTGCGTCTCTGACAGATCTTGCCCCGGGGAACGATGAGATCTACGAGGAGAAGCAGGAAACCTTCCTGACAGTTGGAAATCCTCAGGATGGACAGGTTGTTCTCTATAAGGTAGGCACCTCGCAAAAAACCTTGCGTTGCCTACGTGGGCCGGTATGCCATTAGAAGAGCAACACAGTCTGGTCACATTTACAGGCCCAGGCCGATCTCCAGGCATTACACGTCACCGACCAGAAGTGATCCTATGAATATCCATGAATCCTAAAAACAAAAATGCAAATCTTGTTCTCTCTCCGAGTTAAATCCAGTCGGGCTTGTAGGCTCCCAGTAGACCAGAGCAATGGGAAAGTTCACGTTTAGTGGCAGCGAAGCGATCTTCAGAGATTAAGGAGCAAATACCAATGACTATAAATTTCCGTGACACGGTTTGCGCGGTGCACAGTTTCTGCATACAAAGAGACCCAATACAACGGTGAGATTTGTTCCACATGACCTGCAGTCCCAGAGGTAACTCGAGTAGCTACTTCTGCACTTGACGGTGATTGATGTCACTTTGCCAGCAGTAAGACTGTTATCATACAGGCTTAGCCCAGGGCCGAGGGCCCACGCAGACACTGGTGGCAGGTGGGGACAGGATAATTACCGCTATCTTCTGCTTTTAGCTGTCGGCTGCAGGCTAACCTGCATTTGGCATTTGGCAGAGCTTGGACCAGTTCAGCAAGTATAGAGGGAGAGCGTTGGGTTCCTGCACGACTGTGTTAGACAATGAGTCGTAGGCTGTAGTTGTGTGTGTTTTTAAATACATAGCCCGTTTCTGACGACAGAAACTTTTTCCCAAGGGACTAGGAACTTTTTGAGGAACTCAGCCACAGGGACCAGGCTCTAAATTAAATTCCAGGGACATTTCCCGGTCACGTTTTCCCCTCCAAAAAGGCCCTAGTCGGGGGAATTACTTTCTGAAAGTACAGGAACTTTCGCGGAGGGTTTTGCAGGGATGACAGTCACTAATTGGTCAAACACACACAATGCCGCTGTTTCAACTCCTGTAGCGCTTCATTCATAAAACAAAGGTAATACTCCAGTATCATGTTAGGACGTAGGGAGAGCATTTCTCTTTGTTTCATAATATTAAAAGTAAAGTTAGGCTTCCTGACTCATTTTAAAGAAAGATGGAGAGAAAAACAAAGACAGATCGCACAAGTGAGCTGAGAGAGAGAGACATCGTTGTGAATGAGAGAGAAAATACTTTTCTGATTGTTGTCGCAGTGAGACAAAACCAAACAAAGGTTTGTTGTTTCAAAGCGTTCTTTTAGTCGGAACGGTCGGGCACACTGACCTGCAGGCTGCAGGGTGCCACCATGCAGCCCGCATCCCGTGTCATGTTGCTTTGTCATACGTCAGCAGACTAACTTGCCTTATCTTGCAGGTTCTTACACTGCTATGGAAACAGAGATAATGGGCTGAAGGAACCTTTTAGTTCCTCTATAAGTAGTCCTAGGACTAAAATTAACAAGAACTTCTTGGTGCAAATGCAGCTTCTGTTAGGAGAAGTACTTTTGGGTTTCTTTGCTGTCTCACTCTCAGGACAGCGGTGTGTGTCTGGTTGCATATAGCTACTTGGTTCCCTTTTTCACAGCACATGCTTTAAGTCTCTGATCCTTTCTGCCCCTGTAGATCAGTGTGGACCGAGGCATGCCGTGGGACGAGGCCTACAACAGGTCACTAAAGCTCAGCAGTCCTGATGAGGGATTCTACCTGTCCCTGAAGGTGAGTCCAAGTTATATTCAGCAAACTAAACCCACGGTATACCGCAAGAGGCACTATATGTATATGATCTGTTGTTTAATACAGACCTCACTCAATAGCATTGTGTTGTGTCCACTGAAAAGATGTTATTAGTCCCTCCTTAACAAGACGGTGTACATAATTCACTCTCCACAGCTGCGAGGAAACCACCCGTGTGTGCTGCTAGCAGAGCAGGGACGAGGCAAGAACCTCATCGTCTACAAGCCCAACATCGGCAAGCAGACGCACCCGGAGAGCCTGGAGAACCTGCAGCTCCGTTACCGAAAGGTGAGAGACTCGATCTGTCTGTCGATGAATCAGTAAGGCCTATAGCTGTATCTGCATATCGGTTTCTATATACCAGGGTTGTTATCATAAAGTAAGACTGAAACTAAATAACAATATCCTTCGAGAAAAACATAACCAAAACTATTTTGCCTGCTTTCAAAAAAACTATGTTCTCACTATGTCACTACAGACAAAATGATTATCTGTAAACTGTATCTGTTTTTTACATTCAGTCCAGTCCAGTTGTATGTAGAACTAAATAACAAGAACATGATTTAAATATATGTAGTTGGTCAGACTTTTTCTTCCATTGCTATTTGGAGTTTATATGCGGAGTCGGATGCCCCCTTGTGGCCATGGAGGAGAACTGAACCAGGCAACGTTCAGCTGAACAATGTGTCAGTATATTTCACTAAACTCACTGACAAAAACATGATCAACATAAGAATAAGAAGTATACGACAGTGAGGGTGATGAAGTTCCTTTATTTAAGCTGTACCTGTTTCACTTCCCTACAAGAACAACAGGGCGATGATAACTATAAGCCCACATAACACACACAATTCCTTTATTATTAATCTTTTTATTGGGAATACAAAAAAATAGTATAGAAGAAGTATTTCCCATTTTGGTCGTGAAATTAATTTCCCCGGGGGCCTCAAAGAGAGACCCCCACCCACCCACCCGACAACTAGAACAACAAAACATTGTCTCTGTAACGAAAATATCAATGCTACTTGTAATTGTAGTGTGTATGAGTATTTAGAATATAGAAACATACAAATATTTATTAATAAAAAGAAAAATGAGAATACTAAATACTATTATTTAAAAAAAGAAGAAGAAAAAAACCCAGGAAGTGGGGATAATAGTCACCGTAACAATAATAATAAACAAGATAAAACTATGATCTCACTTTTGGTGGAAAGTGAAAGACCCGCCTTTGTCACTAACGTTTCTGTGTTGGCAGATATGTGATATTGAAAGCTGTGTTATGGTGTCACATCAAACTGTGGAGTTCTTTGCTGATTTCTGGTGCGTTTTCCTTTCCCAGGTGACTCCAGAGGAAGCCCAGGACAGCTGGGAGAACCAGTTCACCTTCTCCTTCAAGAAGTGCAGCCATGCCAACTGGTAAGTAGGAATCCACGACGTCCCGCTGGATTAATGGCTCAATGCATCCAATCAGGCCGCTACGTATTAGCATCCAGCCGGGGCGGATTAAAGGTCGGATGCCGTTCTCAGGGATTTGCAGATCACCTGAGAAGTAGTCGTGAAGAAATAACCTGCAAGGCTCACATGTGCCCTCGTCGTCCGATGACCAGCAGACTGTGTTTGAAATGCTGGGATGGAGCCATCTGTGATGTTGTTAACCGGCCGACAGTCGGTCCTTCAACCTGCCATTCGAGCTTCCTGAAAGAAGGATACGCAAGAAACTTGTGGGCCTTTTTTAATTTGCTGCATAAATAATTTGCCTTTTTCTTTCCCTGTCCTTTTTTCTAGGAATGGGAAGTGTAAGAAGATAGAGGAAGGTCAGGAGTGTCTGCAGGGCATGCGCCTCCGTCAGTACCACATGTTGTGTGGCGCTCTGTTGCGAGTGTGGAAGCGCGTATCCGACGTGGTGTCTGACCTCACCAGCTCCAGCATCCTGCAGATTGTCCGCCTGAAAACCAAACACCACAACAAACAAGTCGGTCAGTACACGTCCCTCATACGAGTCCGATGCACTTCACTCACATCGTGCACGTGTTTTACTGGTGGTCAGAAGCTCTGACGCGTAACACTGGGCGGAATATACTCTAAACAATCACAGAAGAGAGGTTTTTAAATGTGAATGACCAGATGATGGAAGCAGCTAACGAGTGAGCCATCTCGCCTCTTTCTCACCTCTGTTGAGAGTTGCACATTCTCAGTACCGATCGGGCCGGGGATAGTTGTGCTAGCTGTGCTAGCTGTGCTAGCGGAGAGTGTAACGTTAGCCAGATCTAGCAAATTGTCAACTGTTTTGCAATATTTCACACTGGAAAATCTGTCAAACTAGATAATGAAAGAGAGTTCTATGGCATTCATTCTCTGTATGTATTTGTTCATGTTTTACAAAGGAACTCAGAACTTCTCCATTAAAAAGTGTTTCGTTAACAATTAACTTAGTAAAGTCTTTGATTATTTACCTCACCGATAACGTGACTCCTCGTCTGTTCCAGGTATCAAGATCCCGGAGAACTGCGTGGCCCGTGTGCGCGAGGAGCTGCTGCAAATGGACGAGGAGGTGAAGAGGAGACGGAAGGAGAGGGAGCAGCAGGCCGCGGACCAGCGGCTGGCTGACGAGCACGCCCGCAAGATGGAGCAGGAGAACAAACACCTCCTGGCCAATCTGTTCAACCAGAAGCCGATGCTCAACCAGTCGCTGGCGCTGGCGCAGTCGCTCGCCCAGAGCCAGATCCTCAAACAGAAACTGAACCAAAGCGCTCTGCAGAGGACACAAACTGGGAGCATCTCTCAGCTGCAGAGACTGCAGGCCCACAGCCAGTCCGCTTTACAGCAGAACTTACCCCTGAGAAGCCTCAGTCAAACGCAGCCACGGACCCATAACAGCTGGCCCAACAATTCCCCCACCATCAACCAGGGCTCTGTCCCCAACACGGCCAGCATCCGCTCCAATTTCTCCCAGTTTTACCCCCAGTCCTTCGTGTCCCCCTTTCATCAGCTGAAGAGCCCGTCACTTCCACTCCATCCGACCACGCATTCTCCCAGCGTGTCTTCCAAGAACCCCCTGGATGAGATCTTGGACCTGACCGTGAGCTCGCCGTCCCCGTCCCCGGACAGCACGGAGGTCGGACTGACTCTGGACGGTCTGGCGGGACACTCGGCAGCGTTCGTGGAAAACTTTAACCTGGAGTCGCTGATCTCTGAGACTGCAACCAGCGCACAGCACGCCGCACTGTTACAGCAGCCTCTTTTGTTGCAGCAGCAGCATCTGCAGGCAACACCGCAGCGGAACCACAGCCTGCTGGCCAATAACCACCACCAAGACTTGTTAGATTTATTTGACTTGCCCCTGTCCCCCCAGATGCCCACACAGAAAGCCAGCCCTTCGTCCTCTACCTCCTCCTGCTCGTCCTCCACGTCCTCCACCTCGAACAACCTGGTTCCACACGTCCCCGCCGGCCTCCTGCCCGCGTCCGGCCTCATCCCGACATCGTCCTCCTCGTCTCTCTTCTCCAGCCCTTCCTCGTCCTCCTCCCTGTTCTCCAACTCTTCCCCTCGCTTCTCCTCCAACTATCTCCTCTCCCAGTCGGACTCGCTATCTTTGCCCGGCGACCTCGACGTCCGCGAGGCCCTGAACAGCATGCTGCAGGGACCGGACCGCACGTCCGTCATTAAGTACCGGCCACCAGAAGAGCAGTAAGAGCAGCAGCAGCTCGTCTGGACTTTGTTTTTCCTTTTTAGGTAATTTTTTTTTTTTTTTTTTTTTTTCTTTTTTTAAAAGAGTTTTTTTTTTTTTTTCTTCTGTTTTTTTTATCCCCCCCCCCCCCCCCCCCCCCCCCCCCCCCCCCCCCTCAGGGCCTATAGTCACGTCACTGCCTGTCCTGCACTCGGCTCACCCTTCTCTTTACCCACCTATAGCGTTCACCTGCTTGAGGCTGTTTAGGCGACAGCCGTCTCCATCAATATCAGATTTCTGCACCAAAGCGTGTGCTCCACAGTGAAAGGCAGCTGTAAAACAAACAAACAACAAACAAACATAAACACGTGATAACTGTATTTTACCGAACGTACGAGCTGTCAAAACAAAAGCTTGTTCATCGAGGTGTGGAAATCTTTAACGAACCTCCCGCTGCTGATTTTACGAGGTATGATTGGTGAAGTTGCTGGAAGCTCTAAATGCCTTTCACCAGTCTTTTAAACCCCTGCATCTTTTAGACTTTGCTTTGCTGTTACTTCTGCTTCATGGCCGTTTGTCTTGACTAGAACAAGGCTGTATGCAAGGCTTGGGTTTGAGTGAAACAAAAGATAGCATTGAACTGGCAGATGAGGAGAAAAAAAACACAAAAAAACAAAACAGATATGAAATCTTTTAGCTGATAAGCCATGAAATGCCTCACTTCTCTTCTTCTTCTTTTGTTGTTCTTCTTCATGCTCCCTCTTGTTTCTCTCCCTGCCTGTATGAACACTAGTGTGAGGAAAAAGGGAGAGGAAGAGCAGTCTGCTGTTGCAAACAGTGCCTTTGGAGAAATCTATAAATGCAGTCTTTAAAAAGTCCATGTAGCCTAATGTATAGATTTGTACTCTTGGTTTTCATTTTAATTTAAACATGGTATATTTGTATTTAACGTTTAGCCCCCTCGGTCGTCGTTTGTGTTACACTATGCTGGTGGTGGGCTTCAGGAAGAAGCCTCCATTACGCCTGTATGTGCTCGTATGATTGTCTGTGTCCTTCTGTCCCTGTTGATGCGACAATATGCTACGTGGGTCAGTACGGATTACTGAGCAGCATGGATAAAAAACAAAATGTGTCCAAAAATTTTTATCCGGCAATAACATTAATAACACAGTGATGTGACTCCTGGTTTGATCGGATTTTTTGAATTTCTCAGGAAAGTCTCGAGTGCTTTTTGTTGTTGTTGTTGTCGTCCACCAAACGTATGAAAATAAGTTTTTTTCAGTCTTTTTAAATACGGCGGATGACAAAGAGTTTCAAGGTTTTATTGCCTTGAGGGCAGAAAACAAAACACGTCGTCTGAGACACAAAAACAAAAAAGTTCTCATGAAATGTTTTTCCATTTTCCGGCGTCAAGACTTAAAAAACACAAACCGATTTGAAACGTGTGCAGACTCGAGACGCTCGCTGTGCATGATATTCAAAGAAAACAAACCTGTGAGATCTGGCCATCTTTGTGTGACAACCGTGCACTGTAGTTGGTTCATGACATGAAAACGCCGGGATAAGTTCAAGTGATCAAAAAGCAATAAAACCATCTTCTACATTTGTTGTGAAATAGAAATGCCGAAGTACTGTTTACGCTCAACAGGCAACGCTTTGTGGTTCCGTCTGCATGGTCTGAATCTCCTCCGTTGTGCTTCATGCTCCTGTTTCTTTATTCTCAAATGCATATGACCTTTTTGTAAAGTACGTTTTCACGGGACGAGCGCAATGCTCTCTTGATGTTTTAGTCATCGTTATTATAAAAGTTATTGTTATTTATATTTAAGGGATATTTAGATTTTAGATATGTTATCCTGCTTATTAGAATAGTTAACGGAAAAAATGTTTGGTCAGGGAAGTTTCTAGTTTTCAAGATTACTATAAAACAAATTCTATTATAATCTGCCACCAAATAAGATTGCACTGTTCTGTACTGCTGTACAGTGTCTGGGTTGTTTTTAATTTCTGCTCATTTCAGTTTTGCTTTCCTCAAGTAGAATTGTTTCTCCAGCTCGCAGACCTTTTGTCGGGCCTCCAGTTCGCAGAGAGATACCAAAGTATTCCACAGACTCCCCTAAAGTTACTGGCTCGAAGATATCAGACCTTTTGTCAATCTCAGGAAGAACCCTACGAGAGGTGTGGCGGCGGGGCGTTAGCAGACATCTCTATCGTGTCCCCTCGTGACGGTGGTGAAACTAACCAGTACATGTGCTCTTCTCTTTGTAACTCTGTGCTGTGACTCTTGCTGTATTTATGTTCTAGACTTTAATGTGATGGGTTTGTTGTTTGTCCTTCGTGAACATGTCAGTGATTCTAAATGTTTATGCCTTCTTAGGGCAAAGTTCAACGGCTGTTTCTTTTTTCAAGAAACATTATTTCTCTGTTTTATTTCCGTCTGTGTTGGACATTTAATTCACGTTAAAGCCGGCAGATTTTTGTTTTTTCCGAGTCGATGGGCACGCTGGGTTATACTGATCTGTGCAATTGATCTGTCCGAGCCTCAGTGTAACACGTGTTTAGATCGCAGGATCTCAGATTCTTCTTCTTTCTTTGTTTATTTGCAGCTTCTTATTATACGTCATGTGTTCCTGGTACCCTCAATTATGTCGCTTTTATTATTCCTCATCAGGCACATTCCGAGACATCAGTTTGCAAAAGATTTGCCTTCGATTTTGTGTTTAAGTCACACACATAAAGCTTTATGCATTGGAGGGATATGGACCGCATTTTTAGGAAGAAAAAGCTTCTTTTTAAAGATCCGTAGTATCAGTGTAGTTCATCGTTTTATTATCATTTTGCACTAAGAATGGCATAATCAAGTTACTGTTCTCTTGTGGGTTATGATTGAGCATTGCAAGCTTGTTGTTCTTCTGATCTTTGATGGATAGCTCTGTGTATACTGTAACCATCTTCCTTGTTTCTTCACCATATTACATGTTATCACTCTCAAAAATAATTTATTGCTAACAAAAAAAAAATGAAACAAAAAACATGCTACTGATTGTATGTATTTTTAAACAAAGCCTATTTTTTCTGTAAAAAAAAAAAGAAAAAAAAAGAAACTGTGTTCAGCACTTTTATTCTGGGTTGTGCTTTTGTTTTCTATATATTTATAATTTAGATCCAAATGTATATATTGTAAAATTTGTGCCTTTCGACTAATTCTTTAAAAAGGTTTTCTACTCATTAAAGGAAGGACTATATGAAATTGCAATCTTAACTTTGTAAACAAATAAAAACTTGAAGATTGCTGAAACCGAGTGTTTTGTTGAGCGGCCCCCGTTTAGGGAACGGCCTTTGATCTCACTGCTGGAGGTTACGGCAGCATGTTTAACATTACGTCTCATGTATTTAAACAAGTTACATAGTAAATAAAGAGATGAAATTAAAAAGTGAAGGGGGAACTTTTACGTTCACACTAAATATGGACATAACTAGTTTCTGCCAGTGATGTTCTGCAGCTTCACATTACACCTGGACATCTTTTTATTAATGCCACATAGTCATGGAGGAATTATCAAATACACTCTGAACTCAAACCCTCTGAATTGTATCGGACTAGACGTGTAAAGTAGCACAAATTAAAATACTTAAGTTTACTACAAGTACCCAAAGAATTACTTGAGTAAATGTAGTTAGTCTCTGTGCCCATCGTCTAGAAATCTGTGCAAACAGATCAAATAAAGTGTAGCAGTGTTACAAAATCATTTGTAAAGTTGTAGCTGTCCATTGTTTTGTTTTCAAAGCAAAACAAACCAAAATTAAGACTTTGACAATCATCCAAAATGTGATTTAATCCCTGTATGAATACCAAAATATTTTGGGTGGATGTTCAACATTATTTAAGAAGGAAAAGCAGGCAAACTATTTCATTTCAGGATAAAAGTATGTTTATTTGTTTTGAAGGTAATAATTCTTTTGTTATTTTCAGTCAATTTTTTGGGGGGAAAATTACACATTCACAAGAAGAGACAGACTCCAAACCACATTTTTGACACTTTTATCAAGAACTACATCAGTATGGCACCACGATAAAAACAACCTAAAGAAGGCACTAAAACTAGGTGTGTGTTAAATATACACAATATACACACATAATAATATTAGTAGTAATAATAATACACTTTTAATGCTCGCCTGCTATGGACAGTTTTGTGAGCACACTGTGTAAAACTACCATGTTCTCCTAAATGAAGAAGTGAGAGAGAGAAAAAGAGAACAATAGCGTCTCTTATCCCAGCCAAAACCGGGTGGCCAACTTCCGGTCTTTGACGCTATACTTTGCGTGATGACGTCTCGAAACTCACCTGCACGTTGAGCGGCGTGGACGCCACTCCTCCAGTCCTCACCTGTCTTCAGGGAGATTTAGGAGGAAGTCTCCAAACACCTGAAACCAGTCAACGCGAGCGAGGGAAACGTTAAAGAAGACTTCGAGAGTTTAGGTTTTTGATTTTATAGAACTTGGACGGGCAAACAATTTAATCTACAAAGCGGAAGTTTACAGCTTTACAGGTAAGTTAGCGTCGCTGCTGTCAAATGTTTCCTTGTGAGGAAGTGGAAGTCAAACATTTTACTGAACTAACTTAAATGGTAACACAACTTGATTTATAAAGCACCTTTCATACAGGGGGTGTAGCTCAACGTTATTTACAATAACGTGAAGAAACGAGAGAATAAATATGATAATAATAAATGCTGCATGATAGAAAACCGAGTCATCAAATATATAACAAAAGATATGCTAATAGAAGCAGAATACGTAAAATATATAAATATAACAAAGGAAGAATGACAGTTAAAGGTAAAGCTGAATAAATAATATAGTTTTTAAAATTATATTTACAGTGCTAAAGGCCTGATGGCTTCATTCATTATTCCTTCATCACGAGGACAAGTACAGGCCTAAATGTCAGCTGTGGTTTGTTAAATAAAACACTTTGGTCTGAGGTTTACATTCTGTTTGCTGCAACATTGATGTGTGTGTGTATCTGTGATGGTCGGTTGGTGTGTGTGTCTGTCTGTGATGTTTGTGTGTGTGTGTGTGTGTGTGTGTGTGTGTGTGTGTGTGTTTGTGTGTGTGTGACTGTCAGCTGTAAGCCCCACTTTTCTCATCCTCACCTTTCTGGTTCTGCCACACATGCAAGTTTCTACCTGCCTGAGAGTTTCACAGTAGTTTTGACTTTTCCACATTCCCAAATAGTTTCATCTTCCTCTCCCTTGACTCCAATCAGTGTGTTTACTGATGCTCTGTGTGATTAAGGTTGATGATCAAACGCATTTGGACTGATTTCTTGCTTGTTGTGGAAAGTTTAATGAACTGGTGTTTCAAGACTTCTGACCCTGGTTTTGTCTCTAGTTAAATCGTTCTCTCCCTGAAGAGAGATGTGTGTTTTTGCTGGTGTTGTGGATAAAATGTTCTATTGTGGCGTCGGCCTTTTATATTATAAATTGAGAAATTGTTGCCATGTAAAAAATGTAATATTGCTGTAAAGTAGTCGTTCTCATTGAGGTTCAAACAGGTGGCTAAAAACATGTCGGATCAGTTCATTTCTGTTCTTATTAAACAAACATTCCAACTAACGCACTGAGGTCGTAGGCTTGAGATTGTAGGGAGCTTTACGTTACACACAATGCTCTTAACAGTTACGCTTCTTGTATTGATTTTAAAGAATGAAGCATCAAAATGCACCTATGAGTTTCTTCTGTAGTGACGGCATCTGTATGCGAGTCCAGGTAGCTATGAAGTGTGTGTTTGCGGTGCTTAAACACTGTTGACCGTACAATGAGTGACTCCACTGTGAGCCTGTGTCACTACAGCCACTCTATATGCTCTCCGGAGTATTTGTCTTTCAAATCTCTGTACGTACTTAAGGGGGAAGTTTTGTTTTTTCTATTCCTCATGAACCACTAACTGCTGCTTGTTGAAGCCGACTTTGTGTCCGACTCGGTCATGAATATTTATTAGAGAGGCTTGTTTTCTCTTGATGCACGGGTTGAAGAATTCCAGTTATGTGGCAGCGTGGAAGTAGACTTCCTGTTTTCATTTATATGTGGAACAAGGTACTCTGGAGGTCAGAGTTGAAAGTTTGCATGTTGGTAACAACAGGTTGGCCAACTGCCATAACAAGGAGAAAATGGGAATGTTGTTTGTTCTGATAGTTGAGGGGCTGCTGCTGACGATTATTCCTTTTGTCGATTAGTCTGCTGATTTATTCTGGATTTATCGATAGGTTGTTGGGTCTGACAATGGTGAAAAATACCCATTAAAGCCCAAGACGACGCCCTCAACTCTCTCGTTTCGTCCCCAACTCAAAGATATTCAGTTTACTGTCACAGAAGAGTAAATAAACCACAAAACATACATATTTAAGAAGCTGGAATCAGATAACTTAGACTTTTTTCCCTTAAGAAATCAAACCGATTAGTTGCTGATTAATGTAAAAGTTAAAGACTTATCAATGTAATCGATGCAGCTCTAGTTGATCTTGACACACATCCAACGCAGCTTTAAATCTGCATTAAGCCCTCACTTTATGCTTCTTCTGATATGTCTCGAGAGACCGAAACGTTGACTCTTTTTACATAAACTTTAAATAATAAAAGGCGTGTCATTACCTTGGAATGAAGGCGACACAGAACTACTACTACTACTGCTGGAGAAACTTGACTCAGGAGTGAGTGATTACCTGCCGGAGGGGGCACACCTTTCGCTGAGTGTTTGCTTTAGGAACGGCAGAGGTTGCTTTAGGAACGGCAGAGGTTGCTTTAGGAACGGCAGTGGTTGCTTTAGGACCGGCAGAGGTTGCTTTAGGAACGGCAGTGGTTGCTTTAGGACCGGCAGAGGTTGCTTTAGGACCGGCAGAGGTTGCTTTAGGACCGGCAGAGGTTGCTTTAGGACCGGCAGAGGTTGCTTTAGGACCGGCAGTGGTTGCTTTAGGACCGGCAGTGGTTGCTTTAGGAACGGCAGTGGTTGCTTTAGGAACGGCAGTGGTTGCTTGCCGTTCTCTGTTTTCTTCGGAGCGATTAATATTTCAACACTGACACTCTGACTGACCAGAGGCCAGCTGTTCCACCCGACTGAGCCCAAGTTGTTGTTCTACCACCTGTTTCCAAACTGTCGCTGAAGTCTTGTATACTACACATGATGATACACATTCTCTACTTCAGGATTTGATATCGTTACCTCTGAATTCCTTCAGATATATGCGACTGCTCCTCCTGGTAAACAAGTCTGGTACGAGTCACTGTGACTCTTCACTAGGCAGGGCCCTGATAGTCAGAGTCACACTGGGAGAGGATAAAGATCACACACCCATGCTTCAGGGCGTGCTGCAGAAGTTGAACCATGAAGGAGAGATGCCATCAGAGCTGCGTGTTGTCACGGTGTCACTTCCTGATCCTAAAAACACAGCGTTCCCTCTATGTAGGAACCCAGGAACCTTTACTCGGGGCAAGCAGAGCCAGAGTGCAGCAAACACCGCGTCAATTATTAACGGCCCGCTGCTCTCATTCCCCCCCAGTAACCATGGCACCAAGCAGACTGAAACTCAGCCAACAGCGACCTGCTGCTGGTGCCGTGTGGGAAAGACTGCAAGTCCACCAACACACGCACATACCTCCCACAGTGGGAGCAAGTGGACCTGTTTGACTTTATGAAGCCGTCACAAAGGGGAATAACTGAGGAGTCACGTCACTGGATGCTTGACTTGTGTGCTGGAAGCAGAGGAATGTCTTTTTTTTTGTTTTCTAGATGTGAAGTTGAACACGTTTAAGTGACTTTGGCCTCTTTCTGTGGATTATTGGTGTTTTTGTGGACTTTCAGGCGTGTGTGAGGGAGAGACACAGACTTCATGTTTAGACTTCAGTGACTGAGCTTTGTTTAGCAGCAGAGGAAGAAGAAACTCTACAACGTCATGAATCTGACGCAGAGAATGAAATTGCTGAAGCACTTTGGCTCTCTGCCCCCGGAGCCTCCGCCACCACTGCTGGTGGTGCCTGTAAGTGGACGACAGCAACAAGCTGTACTCTTTATCTCTTTGTTGTTCAGGGCTGAAACATTTAAGGAATATATCTATTGGCCATTCATTATGCAGCATTAGTTTTGTTATAATCCATGTTTGTGCATCTTAATTCATGAGTATTTTACTTGATAAGTATGCATTATGTTTGTAGTAACAGGAACAGTGATATCAAAGTCAACGTGTTTCAAACTGCGTCTCCACTACAGATCCTTTAGCAGGTGCATCATTACAAACCAAGCTTTGGTCAAACCCAAGATGGATTCCAAAGTTTCCATTCATGTACTCAAGAAACAATTAGTTGATGAGCCAAATAGCTTAAATTTAAAAAGTATTTATAAGTAAAACTACCAAATCTTTGCTGTTTACATCTTCAGAAATGCTCAGATTGTTATGCGTTATCAAAGAATCTGAAGATGATGTATCCATCGGTATTTAATTTAGATATAAATGTTTTAATATTAACCAGAAGATTCAACTTAAAAAAGATAAAGTATGCATTTATGTACTGTAGGGATGATCGATATGAGGACAATATGTGATAATGTAGTTTAATAAACAGATGTTAAAGTGTACAGTTGTGCTTTTATGCTGGATTCAATAAACTGCTAAAATAAGACAAAACGCTTGTTGAATTCTAATAAAATGAAAGGAAATTATTTCAAACATTAATTTATTGAACAAATTGAACTGAACAAAAGGCAGAAAAAGAACTAAAGTTACATTTTAAGTTTGCTTCTGCTGATACTCTCTTTTAATTAAAAAAATAATAATATCGCAGTCGATTAAAAAGAAAACAAATATAATGAATTTAAAATTAGTTAAATATAAATAGTTTGCAGCTCGAACAATATGTTGAAATACAAGGAAAGGTATTTATAAGGTTTTGCATCAGACATGATGAGCTTTGCATTGCAAAGCAAACCTCGGTCTAAGTTCAGGTGATGGTTTGAATAAGCAGCGGCAGAAGAATAAAGAAGTCTTTTTGTCTTTTCCCTTAGAGGTTCAGTGGTTTGATGACGGATTAAGTTTGTATTTCTTTGTCTGCACCTTAAACGCCAGTAGTTGGCTAATAATTGTCACTCCAGACTCCGTTGTGATCTTTATGTGTGGGGCTTTCTTAAGGAGGCGGTGCAGCTCCACCTTCATGCTCACCACAGGGCGCTGTGAGAGTGGGCAAAGGTTGGGTGGGGGAGGAGCGCTCCAGGTGAGGTCTCTGCTCGACGTTTCTTTCCTCTTTCGTCTGCTGAGAGAGAAACACCACGGTCGGTCGTATTACAAATAACTTCAGCAGCAGGAGGTCAGGTTTCCTCTGGACAGCAGCCACCATCCTGGTGTTGGATAGCTTGGAGAGGGAGGGAGGAAGGAGATCTGTGATTGTTTTGTTTTCGGCGTTTCTATAAGGAATATAAAGAGCCGGCTGTTCACTGAGCACCGGAAGGTCACAGGTGTTTTGTTCAGCGGAGAGATCCCAGTGGGAAATGGAAGTACGGTTCAAAGACCAGGTGGTAAGTGGAGAAGGAAGAGCACAGAGCATTAACGGTCTGACCGTAAACCCCTGCTGTTCACAAAGATTACAGATAGATTATTACTACAAACTCCCAGCTCAATGTTCCTTACAGCTGTGAGCACCTAAAGGTGCAGGTGGGGGGTGGGGGTGGGGGGGTTTAACCAGGCTCACATCAGCAGACAGTAAACCTTCATCTGTCAAGATCTTTCTGACGGTTTTGGCTCAATTTGATAAAAACCCGTTATTTACAGTGTGAGGACTTAGTTTGTGACGGTGTGATTCATTGATCTTGTGACGGATGCAGACCGACATCGCTGTCCTTTTGTTCAAAAGCTTGATTTTGTTTTTGGAAATCTCAACCGATATTTAGACAATTCCCTCGTCCGAGGACTGATAGCATGACCGCTATTTGCATATTAGCAATATGAGTATTGAATGCACAGTAATAGCAACAGGATTTCATCAAAGATGACCTCATAAGTTTTCTTTATTGTTCTGCTGACATGTTTACTCCAAAATTTGATTCGGTTATTAAATCTGCAAATTCTGGTTTCATCGACTCTGTATGAACGAGCTGCTGCTTGACTGATTTTGTCTTCCACTCATTTGTGATTTTTAAATTGACATATTTGTTTTTCTCGTTAACACTTTTGAGAACATGTCTAGTTGTGATTATCTTCACTGATGGCCATGCGTCATCTTTGACTGTTATTGCCATTTGCGATATTGGAGGGAATGATCGTTTTTACATCATTATTCTCATTTCAATTGAAAAACATATTAAAATGATTATGGTGTGACGTTACCAAACAAAGATGTTTCCTTACTCCTGTAGACTCTGATGTGGAGGACAGGACATCGCTGCAGCAGCACACTATCTAGTTAAAATGGTATTTTGACACACATTCTGACTTTTGATAAATATTTGATCAGAAAATTGCAGTTGGTCATATTGCGATTTTTGATAAAACTTAATTTATTTGTGCAGCCCTCGTCCACACTCGGTTGTAGCTCTGTCTCGTGCTTTGCTGTCTTTTACGACCTGCAGTGAAACTACAACATCAAACATTAAACCCTCAGGTTTTACTCTCCGTGTACATGACGACGATCCACAGCCAGCTTTTTATTTCAGCCATCAGGTCACTTGCTGTGTATTTTCTTCCGCCCTCAGGTTTATGATTAACTTGGTCAAACAAACGTCCCACTGTTCACTGTTCACAGGTCACACACTGTTCACCTCTGCTGGTGGTTCCCTCCACCAGACAGTTTGAGATTCTTGTGGGGATCATATTTCGACATTTCGGCCCCTTTAGGTGTTTGTTTCAATGAGTTGTAAATGTCTTCTATGCCTCAGACGTGTCACTGCCCTGTACTGGTTGTGTGACTTCATATTCTACTCCAGTGTTTGAAACAAACTCCAAACTGTTGTTATTGCTTGATGACAAGAGTAGTCTCTGACTAGAGCAGCTGGCTTTACCCGTTCAGCAGGCGTCTCCTGCGCTCTGATGTATAGTCCACGACCGGCCCGCGCTCTGATTTAGTTTGTTCTTTGAAAAAAGAAAATGTGTGAGAAATGATAAACACGAGCGTCACGTCGCCATGTTGGCACAGCGAGTTACAAATCTGTGGTTTGGTGTGTTTGTTTAGTGGTTTGTATAAAAACCTGTTATGTTTTTTTACTTTTTGAGGACTGGAATGAAGAGATTTGCTGAAACAGATGACGGAGTAAAGAGTGGTTATGTGCAGCGTGGTGCAGTTGTGACATCTTCTCCCAGGAACCTTTCATAACAATGTGCACCTTAACTTATGTGAATCTGGTAACTCTCAGGTAGAGTTAACGGCTCGCATGTGAAGTATGAAAGTCCCAGATATGTTAAAAAGCCTGAGATTAAACACAAAGTCCAGTTCAGGCCTGTCATCATAACTACTTTTATATTTTATGCCACTTATAAAAGCATAATAACGCAACTACACCCTTTAAAAAAGAGTCATTTATAAGTAACTTTTGATTCCTAAAGGTTGGAATTGGAATGTGAAAACAATATTTAACTTTCCTAAATAAATAAAACATTAAATCAAAATGGACTCTGAGGCTCTGCTAACAAAAATGCGTAATGTCTTACAATGACAGGGCTCAGAGATGATTGAGGTCATGTCCATATATGGTGTGATAAGTCCATAACGTAATTATCTATACAGGCGTCGTCCAGTTTCCTTATTGCTCCTCGAGATACGGATCCAATAACTAAGATGGCGACAGTGTCTTCTCAGAAATAACCTGGTGGTTTATAAAAGCTTTGAGTGTAGAGCTGAGGACTGTCTGCTCTGTAGTTCAGCCTCCAGTGATCCCTGAATGTGACTGTTTACAGAGAGACAAACGTAGAAATGTGATGCGTAGAACAGGCTCAATGTGTCTGTCACTGTAAGAGCACATATTATGTCTTCAGAGCTGCCACAATTATTAGATTATGAGATTAGTCAATCAACAGAAAATTAATGGGCAAATATTTTCAAAATCAAATAATATATATATTTTTCCTTCATTTGCTGGCTCAAGCTTCTCACATGGCAGGATATCTTTGTCATGTATGAAAAGGAAGCTCAATATGTTTCGGTTTTCGTCTGTTGGTGGGACAAGACGAGTCATATTTGGCTTCGGTAAATTATACCAGTCATTTTTTCACTCTTTTCTGACATTTTACTAGCCAAACTATATCAATTAATTAATCGATAATGAAAATAACTATTAGTTCAATCAGGAGAGACGAGTCAGATAAAGGAAAGATAATTGTTTCTTGTGAACAAATGATATGTGATGATAAAGTCTTTGGCGCTTGGACTCTACAGGGAGATTTGTAATGGAGGAGCGTCTGCCCTGAACAGCAGCGAGTTAACGTACTGAAGGTGAGACGGTCATATTTAAGAGAGACGGCAGCAAGATGACAGGCAAACGATGTCATTGTGTCGTTGTGCTATTGGATAGGAGAGACCAGCTGATCTAGACAGCTGATATCACGATAAACAGCCCCAAACAATAACGGCAAGGAAATAATGAGCATGAATGAGGCAGATGTATGAGAAATAAACTACAGGCTTAGGCACGCAAGAGTATAGTCTTCCTGACTGAACTTTCTGCTGTGTTTACACATCGTGAACAAGCCCCGGTTGTTCTATGTTATCACCATCGCAGGGACACACGCACACACAGGTAGCCCTTCCTCCATACCGGTCAGGCAGGATTGAGGCAGGTGAGAGCATGCCGAGATCGGGTTGAGTGAAACACACACTTTTCCTGTTTGGCTCCACAGTTCTCCCTGTAAGGACCGGCGTTATATATTAAGGATTAATTCATTTGTGATATTGTCAAAGATAAGTTTTCCTTTTGCTAACTTTTGATATCATCATTGTTGTGTATTTTTTTTTTTTTTTTTTTTTTTGTTTCTTTCCAGAAACCAGGTATGGAGGAGCTAACAATATGGGAGCAACATACAATAACACTAAACAAAGTAAGTGGTTGTCTTGTTTAAATAAGCAATACAGAAAGTGCTTTAAATGGTATCCGTTTCAGACCTGAAGTTGTTATGATGAAGACATTGATGTATTTTTCCTTCTCCACATGTAAAACATTAAATTTCACAAAGGGAACTAAAGTAAACTTAAAGTGCAGAGCACTTATCTTGTGTGCTCGGTCTGCGCCGAGTGGCTGCACAAGCACACGAGGGAAAGTCGATGCTGGATGTAGAGCTCACCTTTCAGTATTACTAAAAGGGCTCGCGGGGGTTGAGCTGGACCGAGCTTCAGTCCTCTCGGTGTCACGGCACAGACAGCAGCAGGAATTCAGAGTGACACACCCTGCTGCACCCCGCACAGCACCAGCTGCCGCTCCACTGTCCTGCCTGAGACTGAGAGCCACTGGAATGTGCTCTTCCTCCCTCTGTCTCTCTGCCCACTCACTTTCCTGCGTACGTTTGTGTTACTCTGTCGTGTGCTTGCTTTCATTTTCTGGCCGTCTAAAAGCCGCTTTTTGTTTTTCTTCTCTCTCGTCGTAATGGCAGGATCCCAAAGTAGGGTTCGGCTTTGCCATTTCAGGAGGCAAGGACAAGCCTCACCCAGACGACGGGGATACAGCTGTGGTGGTGTCAGATGTGCTGCCAAATGGACCGGCCATTGGACGACTGTTGTAAGTTGAGCACTGTGGCTTCTGCAGTGACTGCGGGAACATTTTAAAAACTGTTTACATCAAAAAACACTCGATTGTCCCGATGAGAACCAGACTCACGTGTGCGTCTGCTTCTGCTCTGCAGCTACAAGGACCAGATCGTCATGGTCAATGGCGTGTCTATGGAGAACGTTTACTCTACCTACACCATTCAGAACCTCAAGTCATGTGGCAAGACCGCAAACGTAGTGAGTACAGAGGAAGCGCCGACCAAAAGAAACGCCTTAAATGACGAGTTGTAACCTCGTGTCTCTAACTCTCTGGCCCTCTCTGGTCTTCTCTCCCTCCAGACGGTGAAGCGCCCTCGCAAGATCCAGATCCCGGCGACCACCAGACCGACTCGGGCCGTCTCCCATTCCAACCTGCTGGACCCGGACCATCCCAGACGACCGCGACGCTACTCTGACGGCAGCGACAACAGAGAGAGCAACCGGTACCGCGCCCGCAGCGTCTCGCCGGTACGCAACGGGCACGGCAACGCGCTGCCGCTGATGTCGACGGCGTACAAGAGGCTGCCGCGTCAGGACGTCGTGGAGAAGCCCATCAGGACTACACTGCTCAAGAAGAGAATCACAGATGGTAAGACTTCGGGAGCCGTAGTTTGCTTGTCCTGACGTACTCGCATTAGGGAGAGTGCTGATGTCTGAGCGGAACTCTTGTTGTCGTCCTCTTTCTGCAGAGTATGGACTGAAGCTGGGCAGTCAGATCTTCATCAAGCACATGACGGAAACAGGCCTGGCCTCGAAGGAAGGAACGCTACAGGAGGGAGACCTCATCCTCAAGGTGGGAATTAAGATTTGGATGATTCATCTTAAAACCACGACGTCAATGCACAACAACTCTTGTTAAACAGATTTGTAAAAGTCATGTTTTTTTTGTTTTTTTTTAAAAATGATTTGTCTCCTTCGACCAGATCAACGGCATGACGACGGAGAATCTGTCCCTGCTGGAGACCAAGCACTTGGTGGAGAAGAGCCGGGGCAAACTGACCATGACGGTCCTCAGGGACGACCGCAAGTTCCTGGTCAGCATCCCAGAGATGGAGGACAGCGCCCCCAACAGCGACAACGACCGCCGCCGAGGCAGCAGTTCTGAACTGGAGGGTGAGGGAGGGAGATGGAGAGGGAGGGTATTGAATGTGAGCGTGGTGGCCTGAGGTGAGAGTGAAAGCAGCTCTGAACCACAGTGTGAAAGAGGAAAGACGTGAATGAGAGGAAACTCGTTGATCAAGGAGTTCGTCTTTGCAGAATTTCTGGTCTCACTAATTATTTTGATGTTTCTCATCAGACATTTCAGACCTGGACGAAGACACTCCGACTCGCAGAACGTCCCGCCAGCCCAACAGAGAGAAACGGACACGCAGGTACACACCACAGCCCCCCCCCAAAACCACAAATAATCGCGATGAGTAATTGATGTAAAAAATGGTCATTTTGTGGGTGAAGTATTCTTTTTAAGGATCAAAGCACTGAAGAATTTCTGAATAATTATTATTGTTTCTTTTTTTAAATCCAGAACGAGAGCTGAACCTCCTCCATCCAAGTCTCGGGATTCGTCACCGATGCGCTCCACCTTGACTCGTCCGCCCGTAAAATCCTACGCCTCTCGCAGAGGTCAGTCCCCCCCCGAGAACTACAACCAAGGGATTCAATTAGACGGTTTGTGCAATAAAAAGACAATAATGATGATTGTTACTGTTGATTGTTGTTTCTTCAGCTCCCTCTGAGTCTGTGTCGGACCGCAGTGCCTCTCCTCCCGTCAGGAGAGACAGTCCGGACCTGAGGGATCCCTCCAGCAAATACAAGTCAGTTCAGTTTCATTCACAAAATGTTCATCAAACTGTATGTTTGGGCACATCACATGTATGCCATGCTGTGTTTAAATTTCAGATAAAAATATATCATATTGTGAGATTTAATAAGGTCCCAAACATCCAATAAAATCATATTTTATCACCTTGCAACTTGGAACAAAACATCTATTCACGTTTAACCGACAACAATATCCAGATTGCTCAAGTGCATGTAAACAAAAGAAGTGTCGGGTAAGGTGTTAAGAAATAAATGTTTTATTCCCTTCCTCCAGATCTCTGTCTGGTATGTCCATCCTCCCCAACCCTCGCTCCTCTCCTCAAGTCCCCAACTGGTCCACCTCCTCCTCCGCATCGCGGCCTCGCAAGCCGGTGTCGGAGTCGGACTCGGACCGCAGCACCTCCCCTGTGCCGCGCAGACGGAGCCCGCGTCCAGACAGCAGATACAAGTAAGGATGATGCACCTCCAGGGATGAGACGACACCGGATTTTATGGTGGATAGCGATTTTAAAAAAATAAAAAAAAAACACTTGCAATAAGTTGATCTTAGTGAATATCTGTTACCGGGATAATCATGAAAAAGCTGTCCATGAAAATATATATTTGTTTCTTCATAAAATAAATAATGAAATGATTGCTGTATGATTTAGTTTTTATTCTTTTAAGCATATTTTAATGATTAATTAAATTGGCAAGAATAATCGTGGCATGAAATTTTCACATCGTTCCAATCAACTCAAAGCTTCTATTAGAGAATCTGGAGAATCACAATTCTTATGAACACCATGAGGAATCTTTCTTTCCACCAGACATTTTCTAACTGTGTTTTCCTCACACTCCTCTCTCCCCCACTCCCCCTCACCAGAGTTCTTCCTGATCTGGCCTTCGGAGGAGGACTGAGAGCTTCCCCCATTGATGTTCGTGGCGAGACACTAAGGAGGGTCAACTCTCCTGTGAGAGTCCTGCCCTCAGGTCAGTACACACACACAAACTATCCAACTTTCTTTTTTATGGTACACAATACATCCCGGACTTATCTGACGCCTCTGACAATATTTGCTTTGAATATTTGCTGCTAAAAACACGTCAACAGTCAAATAACCCTAAAGCCAGAGCAAAGGAGAGCTTTTTAATCAGTAACTTCTGTGTGCGGCCGTGTTTTTAGTTTTGTGTTACAAGTCAATCCAGCAGTTTGTCTGTGACACTCGACATGGTGACACTAGACAAGACAGACGGGATGAAAAGAGTGTTTTCTGAACAGTAAGCGTGTGAAGATTAGAAACCCCCAAATACAAGTGTGAACCTGAAATGTGATGTTCCAAACATTACAGATATCAACTTTATGGTGCGTTAAAGCTACTTAGTGGTAGAAAGCAGAACAATGTGACGAATAACTTTAATATGTGAAAGCAATACTTACTGCTGTCTCATTCTGCCATATTTTATGTTTTTCTCGTTGTCAGACTCTGACTCGGAGTCGGAAGTGAGCCTGCCCCGTCCTCGGAGGCAGAGCACCACGTCCAATCAGGACTCCCTCAGCAGATACAGGTACAGATGAAGGTCCAACCCACACCCCCCCCACACCCCCACCCCCTCCCCGAAACCCACCAACATCCCACGGACTGGGACACTGAGTTGACTGTGCACGCTTGGCCTGTTTAAACATTAGCTAATCATGTATTTACCTTTTTAATTTTATTAAACTCTTTCTGTCTCTTGATTTTGATTGATTTGCTCATTTTGTAGCCTTTTGCTTTTTTTGCTTGACTTGTGTTTCTTGTGTGTACCAAGTGTTTTGTGTTTTTCTTTTGTTAACCGATGAAATAAAAGTGACTTACACTGAACATGTCCCTCTCCTGTATGTGGCTAAATGCTGATTAAACAGAGGACTCGTATCGCTGAAGCAGCAATATTCCAATCAAATATCTGTAGAATAGTTCCCCAATTACAAATCTGCATGTGTTACTCGGCATGTAATATAAATTCTCAGTAGTAGATCAGGAAATACTACGAATGCCACTAAATGGTTAATCTTGATCAGTTACAAAGCAGTTAACCATCAAAGAGAGAGCTTCCCCCCCAAGAGACACTAAGGTGAATATTCAACATTTCAGTCTCATCCTCTCATCAATAATCATCAAATTAGCCACAGCCCCTCCCCCCTCTCCAAACGTAACTGAGATCTGTTGTCTTCCTCCTCCCTCACTCCCGCCTCCCTCTCTTCTCTTCTCTTCCAGAGTCCTGCCAGATGTTGCCCTGCAGCCTCACGTGGATACGCCCCGATGGAGCGCCCCCAGCGTCACTGCCAGCAATCCGCCACGGAAAGGTGTGTGTGCATGTGTGCGCGTGCGCAAGGTTTCTGGTTGAAGTGTGTTCAACATTAAGTCAGTAAGCACTATTGAGGAGGGAGCATCTCTGTGTTATTGTTTGAGTTGTATACCTTAAATGTAGCACAAATCACACAGCATATGTTCTTCATAATGTGTTTTTACAGTTCAAATAGTTTCACATTTCATTTATTGATCTTCGCAGCTCCTTCAGATTCAGAATCGGAGGCCAGTTACGAATCTGAGCCTCGCAGGGAATCTACGGAGCCCAAGAAGTCGAGCACGGCTAAGAGATACAGGTGAGACACACCTGTGATGTCTGTTGTCAGAAGAGGACTCGCTACAACATGACGGGTGTCTGTTGGCAAAACTTTTCCTCACAAATAAGTGACTAGTGTTCAGCCACCATAGTGGAGTCTCTAGTGCTGAGAAACACAACGGGCCTCATGCTCATGATTTAATGACAAATTACAGCTTTTGTTCACACAAACGGACTTAAAAACAAAAGGTAAACGATATCAAAATGTTACATTTAAAGACACGCAACAGACTGCCAATTGCATCAACCAATTATTTAGTAGTAATGTTCAGACGAGTGCAATTCAGTGTTTAAATGGTCTTTATTCCTGTTTTTAAAATTTTGCATCCACCATAAAATACAAAAATATATGAAACACGCACTGTAGCAGCTTGTAACTAGTGTTATATAAATACTAGTCTCACTCACCGGATGTAGACTATCGGATCTATCTCCATCTTGCAGGCACCATCGCTGCATCCTTAGCACCGGCCAAGACTCGTGTGATTGGTTTAAAGAAACAAGCCTGAACAAGCATTTCTTCCCCCTGTAGCAGAATGATGATGTTTAGACCTTTCCTTTGATGCTGTGGAGGTCCGGCTATGCGAGACTATGATACAGAATACAATGGAGCACTTGATTATTAAAAGCTGGAACTTTATAATGCAGCCACTAATAAACACCTGCAGTAGTATCTGTTGCAGAGGGAAACTGCTCCACTGTGGAGATGCGAGTGATGACACCGACAGGATGTCCGACCGGTTTATCTGCTTAATCCAAACACTCGTGTTGTCACATTGTAAAACACACACTGGTGCACGTGACGCGACCTTTTGATGAGATATTTGAATTAATATTCTCACTTCTGACAGTTAACAGACGATGATCTTTTTGTTGTGTATCACAAGATGACAGAGGAATGATTGAATGACGTTTTGTAGTTAATTACATGTATTTGTCTTACAATCAGAGTCCTGCCTGACATCAAATCCCCGTCAGTCGCCATGAAGCAGGAGCCTCCTCGCCGCGTCCAGTCACCCACCAGACCTCCTCCTGATGGTCAGTTTACTCCTCTGTGTCTCACACACACACACTCATCCTCTCCTCCTCGTTGTTGTCATCTTATGTTTTAGAGCAGAAAGGCCCTAAGTTGGTCCTGACCACAGTCTCTGTTGTGCAGATTCCTCAGATTCAGACCAGCTGTCACATCTCAGGAGGTCCGGGAGCTCTGAGCGGGACGTCAGCCGCCACAGGTACGACGGAGCGCTGAACATGCACTTCATCTAAATCAGATCCGTGTCATTAAAAACTCCTCGTATGCATTGAAATGTGTTGTAACACCAATATCACAGGTGATGTTTTCTCCTCCTGGCAGAGTTCCTCGTGATGCTAATGGAACGGAACCCCTGAAGTCCGGCATTTCAGCAAAGAGCAGCCCTCCAACCTACTGTAAGGCTCAAGATAGAACCACTGAGACAACCTGATTGAGTTTGATTACTGATTAAAGCTCGGGTAGGACGTTTATTTTTTGGCGTCATTGGACAAAAAATGTAAATAAAGTTGTCCTGCAGCTCTTCCCTCTCCGTCCTAAGCCCCTCCCACCAGACGGGCACTAGCACGTGCACACGTCTCATCATCCTTCATACAGTAACCTGTACAATTACTAGTCATTCATTTCAAACATTATCAGCATCCTGATTGTGATCCCGTTGCCCTTATATAAGAATTAACATACTTTTTAAGAATTAAAGCCCTTGGAGATGACATACTGTGATTTGAGGCTCTAGCGAGCTGTGATATCAGGCGAAGCAGCGTTGAGTTAATAGAGAAGGCTTAAATATTAGAGAGATGGAAAGAAGATGGATATTCTGCCACTGAATCAAGCTTTCACCGAAGGGACGTGTACGTATGTCTGCATTTGTAGAACAGCCAATAGGATCGCCCTCTCTCTGAAATGACCCGTGATTGGCCAAAGTCTCCCGTCACTGCCTACGTTTTTCAAAAAGGAGACAAATTTATTGCCCTATGACTCCAAAAATATACAGCTTCTATTGTATTGTATTGTATTGTAAAAACTAGCTGGTTTCACTTCGAGCTGTGATGAATTGTGTTTTGTTTTTTTTCCCCTACATTTTATAGTCTAAATACTAAAATTAATGGACAACAAAGAAATATACATTAGCAGCACCAGCAGGGAGTCTCATCATTTCCGTGTCTCTTCTAGCAAAGCCTGCAGAGGAGCCAATCTACTCCCTACCTCCAGACTCTTACCCAGCACCTAATCCAGGGTGAGTAATGCTCATTTATTCATATGCATCCTCGTCTTTTGAGCTACATAATTCATCTCAACAGAAATGAACGTATCCCTAATTGTTCTCCTCGCTCTCAGGTACAGCTCAGACCTTCACACGGTGTCGTTTGTGAAGGAGGGCAGCGTGGGTCTGAGGCTGGTGGGGGGCAACGATGTCGGCATATTTGTCGGTGGAGTTCAGCCAAACAGCCCGGCGTACGAGGAGGGAATGAAAGAGGGGGACCAGATCATGCAGGTGAGAAAATGACACTTTGCAGTAGTTCATTATTAGCTGAATGAAGAGACTAATAGTTATTGAAGCTCAAGATTACAGCCACTATTTTGGCATGTCAGCAGGTCACCATGAGGGAGCACAGTTTCTTTTGTTCTGTGCTGCAGAACCAGGACTGAGCAGAGCAGACTGTCGGACCCTGCTGCAGTAAAACTGAGCGATTTTCTAAAGGGACTCTAATGCTCGGAAACACTACCGCTGTTGGCCACAGGGACCGCCAGAATACACACAAAATTAAAGTTCCTCTTGTAGCCACAACTTGTTATAATCAGCCTGTAAAATACTCACTTTATGAACAGATTTTTTTGTGTTTTAACTCTGTTTGCTGTTATTAAAAAACAAAAAATATGCAATTATATGTATGTACTTTAATATCGAGAGCGGGGAAAAAAGGAAACAAACAAGAAAGGATGTCGCAGATAAAGATGATTGTTTTTTGGAATTAAAAAGTCTCGCTCCTTAAACTTGTCTCCTTTGTTCAGGTAAATAAAGTAGATTTTGGTCATTTCACACGAGAAGAAGCCGCCAACTTCCTCCTGAACATCAAGAGAGGAGAGCAGGTTGAAATCTCCACTCAGAACAAGATGGACAGTAAGTTTATCACTAAACCTCAGATGATGATCAAGCTACTGTTGATCAGTGACTGTATGAACCAATCTTAATCCTCCTCCTCCTCTCAGTTTATAAGAAGATCATCAAGTCCAACCTGGCCGACAACTTCTACATTCGCACCCACTTTGACCACGAGGCAGAAGGCCCCATCGGCCTGAGCTTCACCAGAGGAGAGGTGTTCAGGGTGGTGGACACGATGCACCGCGGGAAGTTGGGCAACTGGCTGGCCAGCCGCATGGGGAACGACCTGCACGAGATGGATAAAGGCACCATCCCCAACCAGGCCAGGTCGGGGAAAAGAGATTTGGGGTCTCTAGCTCAACCAGGAGCCGTGGTTCAGCTCTTAACGTCTTGTCATTATCTCCTGCAGGGCCGAGACGTTGGCCAGCATAGAGCAGTCGCAGCGGATGAGCGGAGAGAGGCAGGTGTCGGGGCCGAGAGCCGAGTTCTGGAAGCTACGGGGGCTCAGAGGGAACAAAAAGAACGAGAAGAACGGCCGCCGGAGTCGCGACGACCTGCTACACCTCACCATTCAGGGCAAATTCCCGCCCTACGAGAGAGTCCTGCTCAGAGAAGGTTGGTGTGTTTATTAAACACACACACACACACACACACACACACACACACACACACAAAGAGATGATGATGTGTGACCATGTCCTTACGAGTCGATCATGTTTCAATAGCCCTGATTTGTTTGTGTCTCCAGCTAATTTCAAACGGCCCATTGTCATTCTGGGTCCTCTTAATGACATTGCCATGGAGAAGCTGGCCAGAGAGATGCCTGATGAATATGAAGTGGCAGGTTGGTTTCCATCTTTCTCACAAGACTATTTGTAGCTTTTGTAGTTCTCCGGATCTGATGTCCACATCGTAAACATTGTTTCTCTGCGTCTTGCTTTGCATGGCAGACATGGTTCCTCGCAGTGGAGGAGGAGACAGCGGCTCCACAGTCATTAAACTGGACACTGTGAGGAGAATAGCTGAGAAGGTGAGTCTTCAGTTCGCCAGCAGCAGAAACAAATGTCATTGTTTTTATCGAGATTTCAATCGTAATACCAACAGAAACGCATCAGTATGCAAACATACACAGCACGTGTCCCTCCATACACAATCACGCACACAGATATATAACAAGGCACACAAATGTTTTGATTTTTTTCAATTTATAAAATAGTTATTATGATATATGTTTAATGATTAAAGGCAGAATCTATACTCCTATATGTTATCTAAATATATATATGTATGTATGTATGTGAATTTTCTTTTCAGTCATATCTCAGGAACAACTTGGACTCAAGAATGTCCCGATTAGATTTTGGTGTGACCTCAGAAAACACGTTTTTTGTCCATAGCTCAAGTATTGATGTGCTAATTATGACAATTTCACACATGATGGCTCCAAGTGATGCTGGTTCTTCATTCTTACAACATAGTCAATTTTTCTTCTGGCTTGAGGAAGTCCAGAGTGGATCATTTGTGTTTGCGTTATTGTTGTATAAGTCTTTGGGGTATATTCACATAATTCTGCCCTTAATGGGATGTTACTTTTAATTATGTGTGATAAACATTTAACAACGTTTTCCACATAGTATCATCTTTAAGCTCTCACGTTAGCAATGAAAAAAAGTTACTTTCTCATTCAGGCATTCAACACGAATGTTTGTGGGAATGTGATGAAGTTTAACAGGGGTTAGGCACGTTCTCGTTATACTGCTGTCATTTTAAGCTTGTATTATTTGACTGTTTGTGCCTTTAAAGCAGGTTATCAAATCTACATACGTGTCCCTTACCAATCACATTATTAAATGTAGATATTTAGTTACCTTTTCCCCTCCCGCCCCGTTTTTGCTCTTTTCCTAGGACAAGCACCCTCTTCTGGACATCACTCCTACTGCAGTGGAAAGGCTGAACTACATCCAGTACCACCCAATGGTGCTGTTCCTGGACCCGCACAGCCGCAAGGACGTCAAGGCCATCAGGCAGAGGTACAGCCCCAACTCCAACAAGAGCTCCAGACGCCTCTACACACAAGCCCTGAAGCTGAGGAAACACTGCAGCCACCTTTTCTCAGGTAACGACACAAGTCCGTTTCCTGTAATATTATACTATTGAAGGTACAATAGACTGTATAGAAGTAGCTTCTTTATTTGTTTAGTTATCTGGTACCAATTTACAATGTTTATACTTGTTATTCTCCTGACTCTCCCTCCAGCACGTATTGACCTGCAGCCCAGCTCCAATATTTGGTACGAGAGTCTGAAGGATAAGATCCGCCACCAACAGTCAAAACCTGTCTGGGTGTCTGAAGTGAAGGTACGACACACAGCAACATCCCCCCCCACACACACACCTAAATATTTCACATTTAAATGTGTTTCTCTTTGTTTTAAAGGGTTAAATTATTGTGAAATGTCATCACCCCAAAAGGGATCATGAGATACTTAAATTGACTCACTTACAATTCACCTGAAACTTGTCTTTTGTGACAGAAGTAAAACATAAAAAAATGAAAGTTGCTCAGTTAGAGTAAATCTTTATTATGTAATTGGATGTTTATTATATTTAAACATTTTAAAATGTCTTTCTTGCTAAACTATTTTACAGTTTTGTTAAACGTCTCTTGCTGTCTGTCCGGTGGCAAACTAGTGACTGAATTTGTTTTTCTGTCCAGTTGGAGAGCGGAGGAGAACAGGACTTGGATGCTCTGGACCAAACCCAGTCCGACTACCTCAGTGCTGCCAGTGACCTGGAGGACACGGACGGAGAGATCTACACCGACAACGAGGAGCTGGAGGAGGCTTACCCCGGTCAGAACGTTGAAGAGCTCCCCAGAGGCTCCAGGGTAGCCGGAGCTGCTTTAGCCCGATCATCTGAGCCCGCCGCCGTGCGCCACAGCCCCACCTTCGACTCCGAGTCTGAATCCGACACGCACTCGCACAGAGAAATCCCACCGCTGATGCACGTGCCTGAACCCAGAGCACGGCAGGAGAGTTACAGCCCGTCTCACAGCGCCGCTGAGGAGGACGACCGAGAAGACTTCTCTCATCGCAGTTTCACAGACTCAGATTTCAGTGCGCTCAATGTGGTCGCGCGCACCACTCCGTCAGAGGGACCCCCGGATTTTATAGCCCCCGACCCCTACACCCGGTACTCGGTGACCGAGCCTTCGTACGCCGAGGTGCAGCCCGAGAGCCCACAACACGCCAGCCTGTCTGTTATCGAGGAGAAATTACAACAGGTATTGCTCTTACTTAAAGGAAGATACCTGTGTTTTATGGATTTGTGTCGGTACACTTGGTATATGGTAGATGGCCTTAATCGGCTGGTGAATTGATTAGTCAGTAAATTGACAAAATACCCAATTTTCAAGTCTTTTTTTAAAGCAAAAAAGCCAAACGTTAGCTGGTTTTATCCTGTCAAATGTAAATATTCTGAAGGTTTTTACGGAGGGGTTTGTTCATATATCATTTAGAGTATTGTATAGTGAGTATAATTGTCTTAATGTAAATAATCAAGTGAGGAAGTTTCATATTGATATCTGTATTTACAAATTCACCTGTAGAGTCTCTACTTACTATAACAGTAAGTGCTTTGGAAAATGGTAGTCAGCACTCTTAAGGATATGTTGTTAATGCACCTAAAATTCCAGAAAAGCCATTAAAGTGCTGTTTGTATAATGTTTCATTGGATAAATCACGAGAAACCCAAATGCTTCTTGTTTAAACCCTTGGTGTCCTCTCCTCTAGGCTCGCTCTGCAGCGCCACAGGAACCAGCTGAGGAGAGGAAGGGCCCTCAGTTCATCGTGTAAGTCTTCTTTTTGTTGTCTTTGGCCGTCACAGTAAAGCCACATTGAGCCTAACGCACTAATACCGACCTCCTTCTGTCCTGCTCTTTGACAGGCTAGCACATCATCACCAGGCGGTCCAGTTCAGACGCACACAGATCCGAGGCAGCGACAGCTCCGAGGAGGAGGAAGAGGTGGATGACGTTGAATGGGGTCCTGCGACGGAGCTATAAAGTTTGAATCGAGGATTTAAAGCCGGAGTCCACTAAACTGACGAGGACGTGGAGACTATTTCACTCTTTCAAGAAACTCTCTTGGATCATTTTGTACCATTTTCATGAACGGCCTAGTTCGGTTGTGGGAGATTTTATGAAGTTAACTTTTTAAATGTTAACTAAAAGTGTTAACATCTAACGAAAGGTTCTAACGTGAATGTTCAGATCAGAGTGCCTGAGTAGCTCTTATTTTGTATTTAAATAACACCATGTCAAACAAGTCAGCCTTACCTTTTGTTACTGCCGCTGTTTGGAACATAACAAATTCTAGTTTTATTAGAAATCACACCGAATGAGTCTCTTCATAGAAATATTATGTTTAGTTAATATGTTTAAATATATTTTCATTTAAACATTTATGAAATGTTTGGATTCCTCTTTAACTTTTTCTACAATAAACAGTTTTTTCCGATTTTAAACGTGGGTGTGTTCAATCGTACAAAATGGCAAAAGCGGCTATAAATGTTTTGTGCTTTTACATATTTGCCCGGATTAACATAATTAATAAACGCATAACTGATGATCAATGATATTAGCTATTAAGAGTAGAATCAATGAAACTTTAAAGCAAGCTGTGACACAGTTTACCTGATTATTAAACTCGGATAAAGGAGTCCGACCTCCTGTTTTGGGGTTTATTTCATAAATTGCACACGTGTTTTTTAAAAATATAATTTAAAGTTTCATTGAATTTTATATACAAAGAATATCCAACACCAAAAAGACAAAAAAACAGGCATGTAACCAAACAGACGTTGATATAAGACGTGCAGTTAAATAAAGTGGTGGACTTCAGATGAACTGATCCAAACCATCACATTCTTGTCACGGGGAAACAGTTGCCATCATTTATTCCCTCCACATATAAATTAAAAAATATGTATATATAAATATATTATATATAGGTGGCCCCTGCATATTTACCGTACTTTGCACAGGGCTCCTTTGTTTTCAAACCTCTAATGTATCGGTTGATGCTGCTCACATGGGGCATATTCTTAAATGTGCATGTAATCACATGCCACAGCTCATTATTGCCCTGGGGCCCCTCATCTGAGTTAATCTGACCCCGTCTGCATTCACACTTCCTCACCGTCACGTTAAATAGTTATTCTTTTATTTCATGCTTTCAGATTTCATCGCTCCTCTGGTGGTCAAAGGAGATAATTATATACAGTATCAACACCAGTTTGATGTTGCACTCAACATTTAAAAGCCAGTACACCTTCAGAGTTTTAATAGATTTGTTTGTGTCAGTCCACTCAAGAGATGAGACCAAAACGTAACTGCTGAATACTTACTGTTTATTCCCACTGAATTCATAGCATTTAAAGATTTTACTTTTAAAAATATCTGTGAATATCATATAAATGTATTAGCTGTAAACATCTGAAAAGGCCTTTAAAAGGTAAAAGATACATTTAACTTTTCTTTATCCATGATAGCCCCCAAAAGTTAAAAACAACAAAATGTCACATAAACGAGACAAGTAACCGTCTTTTTGCACACAGCAACTTGCAGCAACCAACGAATTACCATTGAGATTCAGAAACAGATTATGTTCAAATAGTCCTTAATCCTGTTTTTAAGATCTTCCATGTTTATAAAATAATCAAATTTAAAATGAATATGTTGCTCACACCAATATGAGGGTGCAAACACTTCAATAATCGTTATTAATTAATTTCTCTCCACCGTACACATTTATTAACATCTATCTCTCCAGTTTTCTTTTATTTGTTTTATTTTGATGTCTGCAGCAGGTGCACGCGGAGGCGGAAGGACACCATGAAAAGCTTCAGGTCACATGTCGGAGACACACGTGTGTGAAGGATGAACTGATGACTGTGACTCTGAACAAAGCAGCGGTTGGTTGTTTGTTTGTGTTTGGTTTTGCGTCAGGACGCAGTTACATCTCCTTTCAAGTTAGTTTTAAATGAATGAGATAGTTTAAAGTTCTGGAATACAGTTTCTTGAGTGTAATTTAAACGCAATTAATCTTCCAGAAAACCCCACAGTTTAAAAGTCGTATTTAATCACCCACGTGTCCCTCCACCACCACCTCCTCCTCCTCCTCATCCTCCGTTGAGGGAAACTAAACGTACGCGCGCAAAGCGGATGCCGGGTGCGCACGCGGCGAGCTGTCTGTCTCTCTGCCAGTGAGTCTGCGCGGCTCGATGTGCGACAGCAGCAGCAGCAACAGGAGGAAGACAGACGGACACTTAGCGTGGCTGCACGTCGGCGCGTATGGCACCGAGGACGGTCCGCTGAGCGCGAGCAGCGGCGGCAGAGCGCACAAGTGGCGAATCGGGGGGTGGGTGGGGGGGCTGCGCGTAAAACTCAAAGAAGTCGGGATGGACGGCAAAGGTACGCTGAAGATGTTCGCCAGGAAGAAACGGGAACTGATCAAGACGCCCTCCATCTCGAAGAAGAGCCGAGCAGGAAGCCCCGGGCCGCAGAGCAGCGCCCCGTCTGTGAGTAGCGCATCACTTTTGGTTTCCTTGTGCGTCTCGCGCGCTGCTGCTTAGTCTGCTAGTGTGTGTGTGTGTGTGTGTGTGTGTCAGATGACCTTCAGCTGGAGGGGACAGGCTGCAGAGAGGGCTCCGGACAAGGGGTGATAGATACCAACTATAAGTTATAGATATAAGTTTGGTTTAGTTTTTGTGATAACTGTGTGGAACAAACTTTATGCAGAGTTCAGATGTGAGTGCACGCTGACTCATCTGTTCACATACCTGCAGTGTGTCACTTTCAAGAGGGGGGCTTTTAGTTACATTGGGGACTAAGCTGTGAGAGGGGGGGGTCGTTGGCATGCTGAAACGTGTGGGCAAAAGCAGCTACAACCCTTACTCCTCCAGTCAGAGAGTTAAGAAAGCTGAGGCGAAGGGCAAGGACAGGCTGGACATACTGCCCAACAAGCACAACGTATGGCTTAAGCAGGTATGTCTCGAGTGTGTATGCATGTATGCATTTTGTGTTTGTGCGTTGCCAGAGAATCACTTCTCAGGCCCTGAACTGTACCCATTTACGTCTACTATAAGTGGCAGATAAGATGCAAAATAGACAACTTTTCGGTGACTTTTTATTTCCTGTTTGAAGGTAATTTCTCTGCAAAAAATATCCCTTTTCTTATTCCAAACTGTAGAAAATGTCCTTTCTATGCTCTGCTCTGTGTGCCACACCCGACAGCGGCTCGGAGTCAGGAAGTGTTGCACAACGTAACACAGGATCTTGTGAAAGCCTCCACATGTGTGTTTACCAACAACAAGCGCTGCTGTGTTTTAGAGTCCACAGAGGGAAAGAGGACGAGTGAATGCCGGACGCCGTCAGGGTTGAGCTGTGAAAATCATGTGATCATCTTGACTTTTCTTTTTTCTTTTGTTTGTCTTCTCCTTCCTGTGCGTCTCTCAGCTATCCATCCTGCAGGAGAAGCCTCGGAACGATGCAGGCGATGCATGCCTCTCCTCTTCGCCCTGGTCCTCTTCCTCCTCCTCTTCAACTCTCACCCCAACATCCGCCGGGGCGCAGGACCCCTCCCTGTCCTGCCCCGGCACCCCCGGCGTCCAGCACGGCAAGCTGGCGGTGATGCAAGGGGTGGGCTGCCCGTCACCCGTGGCCACCCTGAGGAGGCCGACGGCGCTGAGCCGACACGCCAGCGCTGCAGGTCTGGTTCGAGGCATCATGAATCATGCAGAAATACACACCTGAGATGAAGCAGAAAGCAATATTCTGGACAAGAACAGTGCACAAAATATACTAAAAAAGCACCGTCTACCTACCTGAAATTTAACAAGCAAAGGAATCCAGAACAAATTCAATTTATTTATATATAAAGACTTGAAACAAATGGAAACAGCTAGCCTGGGTACGTCCAAAGGTAACAAAATCCTCCAAAGGGAACCTTTTCTAAAGCTCTCTGTCTAAAGTGTCATATCTGGTTTGTTTAACTTGTGTAAAATGCCAAATTTGCAGTTTTCCATGCGGTTATGTGCCGGAGTATTTCTTGTCTGGGAGCAAAGTTACGGCTCCTGACAAAAACAGTCCAGAAATATTAAGCTGCAACTTCTCGCTTTTACACTTGTTAAAGTTAAGATCTGGAGGTGCTGGTAGGTGTAAACTAAGGACGTTTATCCATGTTCAGTATTAAACGGACACACGTGAGCGTGGTCGAAATATTCCTTTAAATATTTTGGCGCTGTAAAATGTTTGTTGTTTTTGCCTGATTTTAAATATAACGGTGGTTCTGTGTGTCGTCTCAGGTTTCCCGCTCCAGTCGTGGGTGTTCACTAAAGGCCAGGGCAAAGGGGCCGTGACCCCGACGACCCCGTCTGACGGTCCAGAGAGCACCGCCATCGAGGTGGAGGACATCCCGGCCCTGCTGAGGGACGTGGCGCGCTTCGCAGAGGCTGTGGAGAAGCTGAAGGATGTCGTGATGGCTGAAGGTAAACGGGATGACGTTTTTAAGGGGAGGCTGAAAATGTGCTTTCATGCTCTGGTCAATTTTGAGATTTAGGGCCGTTTAGCCTTCATAACATGTCTTCTTTCAGACAAGTGGAGCAAAAACATCAAAAATACACATTTAGGTGTTTATTTTAGTACTTTCTCTGTTTATGTCTGTAGATTTCTCCTAAATTCACTAAAAGTTACCACTAGTCAATGCCTCATTTGTATATTTAAACATAACATTTCAGAAAACTAATAACTAAAACATTTTATTTCCCTAAATGAGCTTTTTTTTCTCTGACTCTGAGCCAGAAATTTCCACTTCAGCAGCTCTTACAAACACCAAACTTTCCAGTTTCTTTCCTCTCTATATTCTGAAGGTTTCTACAGAGGTGTTTGTTCATATATCATTCAGAGCCTGATTTATGCAATATTTCATTCCTAAAAACATGGAGATTTACCATAATAATGCCTCATTTGCACATTGAAACATACATTTGTAGAAATATTGTAATGAAAAAAATATTTATATAAGTTTTGGTAATCAACTAGGGAAGTTTCATGAGGCTATTTGTTCGTCAACATTTCACCCTATTCACCTGTAGTGTCTCTTAAAATCTTCCAGCAGTCATTGACCTCATGTTTGATTCAGAAGGTCTCAAATATTTACCATCAGTATGAGTTCGGCTCCTGTCTGTCTTGTCAGCTGGTACGTGTTTGCCAAAAGGCACAGAAACGGGTTTGATTGGTTGTTTTGGGTTCGAGCCAAATGCTCCGTTTGCTGCGAACACAAAACTAAAGAGAGGAAAAAGAGTGGACAGCGCTAAATAAAAGTGTAAACGACCACCAAGACACGTTGCGATTCGATCACTCACGCCACTTCATGAGGTGGTCAGGGAGACGTTTGACAACATATCATGTGTCCCTGATAAATACAGAAAATAAGAATTCATAGCCGCCGCTCTCCGTTTGTTCCTCCTTTTTCTCCACTTGGTTCTCAAATCAGTTTACCTGGCTTTGTCCACGACATCTGGAAATTTAGAGAAGTCCATAGAGATTCATTACGAGTGCTTCAAACATCTTTTGTTAATTGGTTCGCCTGGCACACGCCAACAA